GTCATACACTAGTCATGCACTAGCCATGCACTAGTCATACACTAGTCATGCACTAGTCATGCACTAGCCATGCACTAGTCATGCACTAGTCATGCACTAGTCATGCACTAGCCATGCACTAGTCATGCACTAGCCATGCACTAGTCATGCGTCAGTTATGCGTCAGCCCTACCTAACCAGTTTTGAGGTCTGTGCGACTTGTGTATCAGTTGCATAGTGACTGTGTTAGCGACTGGGGGCTCAAGTCAACACCCACCCGTGTTCTCACCTCAATCTCGCATGATGGCACCATTTATATGGGTGCTCAAGTCAGCACCCACCGCTGTTCTTAGCACTATTTATATGGTTGCTCAAGTCAGCACCCTTATATCGTTGCTCAAGTCAGCACCCTTATATCGTTGCTCAAGTCAGCACCCACCGCTGTTCAACTTCTTAGCACTATTTATATCGTTGCTCAAGTCAGCACCCACCGCTGTTCTTAGCACTATTGATATCGTTGCTCAAGTCAGCACCCACCGCTGTTCTTAGCTCATCAGAATGTGATGGCATTACTCACATCGATAAGTGTGTAATGTTGGACACTGGGAAAAAAAGTAGTGTTCCATCTTGAAGTAAGTTTGTGGTGTTGGTCGTGGCTAATGATGTATATGTACGTGTGAAGTTTCTCTGTGACAGTTGTATACGTTACATGGGCATAGATTGCTATTTGTTAGGCGTGTTGCTAAACTGAGCAGCAAGGTGCGGGCAGCAGGACATGTACGCAGGATACCTCCCCCCCCCCCCCCCCCCGCACGCATTGGTCCTACTTGAGGTGTGTGGTGTATGCGTGTGTGTACGTGTGAAATGTGCACCTTGTTCTTCGCACATCCCACCATTGTCATGGCATGCCAGGTGTATGCTGGTAACGAAGGGTGTCATCTTCTCTGCTACCCTTGTACGGTCTAAAAGGATAGTGGAAGCTCCAGCCGGTTCACTCCCCTTCTTGTGCTTAAGCTGCTGTACCATTTCTTGCCTCTGTCACGGATGTACATCTAATTTTTCTGCTGTGCACGGTCCATTGTTGCTGATTTGTATGTGGCTGGTGGCCAGTGTCCTGTGACAACGCAATGCCCCATCCAGTATGTGTCTTCTGCAACGGCGGACGGTACCATGCCAAAGCATTGGAATGCCTGCACACCATTTGCCTGAAGTGCCTAGTGAGTCGTGTCGATGGCCAGGGCAATATTGAGTGTATTGAGTGCTCCAAGATCACCACCAGCGCTCCACCTCATGGGATGCAGTACGTGCACACCTTGCCTAGCGTGGGACTACCTGCTGCTGGTGATGACGACAGCGGTGGCGATGGTATCCGCCTCAGCAGCAGTCAGCGTGACATTGCCGTTGATGGCGCCTGCTGCGATGAGTGCTTGACGGATGAGGAGGAAGCCAGCATGGTCTGCTACAGTTGCGGCTCGCACATGTGCGAGTTGCATGGCAAATGCCACCGTGTCTCTAAGAAAACGCACCACCATTACGTCAGGAGTATCCGCTCCATTGCTGCTACTGCTGATGGCAGTGCGGCAGCGGCAGCAGGCCTCGACCGTGCTGCTGCAGATATCCAGTATTGTCCTGTGCACATCTTCAATCCATTGAAATTCTACTGCGATGAGTGTAAGCGGCTGCTCTGTGACAAGTGCTGTACGCGTCGGGAACACCTCCAGCACGGCAAGTCTGCAACTCACACAATACCAGTAGCTGCGGCGAGGGCGAGGGAAGAGATAGACTCTCGTATCCAAGATGTATTTAAAGCTGGCGACATTGTCTGCAGTTGTCCAGACAACACCAAGTCACCCTCTTGCAGTCTACATGGCAACAAGGTTGATCGCTATGCCACTCAAATGCAGGAGGATATCAAGAAGTGGTCCGATTTTCTTGAGACTTCTCTTGAGGAGCGCAAGTCGAAGCTGCTTTCGCAAGTTGCAGATCTTGAAAAGAGCCAGAAGTTGAAGATAGACATGGAGAAGCTTAGCTTAGAGACATCACGCCATTATCTGGAGACAGTGCGGATATTGCTAGCGGTGTGTGATGATTTGGAATTAGTGCGCCTAGGTGAGAGTATTGAGGAGGCGCTGGAGCAGGTGCAGAAATTCTTCGATAAAGTTGCGCCGATGCCCTGGACAGATTTTCGTTTCCAGGACACGGGCTTTAAAGAGGCGTCTGACGCGATTAATGAGTCGGGGCAAATCGTAACGTGCTTAGACGCTGCTGCTGTCTACTGTTTGAAGCCTGATCCCCACTATACTGGTTATCTTGTCCATGAGAAGCTGACGATCCCTGTAGAAGTTGTTGACGTTGATAAGAAAAGAGTTGAAAAGGCTGTGTTTCAATCGTCTGTCATCGCCTTAAAACCTGCCTGTGACGGTCACAGCAAAGACGGAGAGAAGTGTGAAAACTGTTCCCCCCTCGATTGTTCTCGTCGAGAAGACAGAGAAGAAACAGAAGATGCTGTCGGGCATTTTACATTTCAGTCATCGCAACCAGGTAGCTATGCTCTGCGACCATGGCTGAACTCTAAGGCGTTTGATGGGTTCACGATGCATGTGGGTGCCTTGGTGCCATGCGTGTTCCAGCAGGACATGTGTGGCACCTCTATCCAACTTACGAACAACATGCACACCGCTCAACTTAAAAACTCCAACAGTAGCGGTGTTGTTTGCATCCGTCCCCTATCAAGCGACTCTGGAGCTGTGGATATACTGCGCTTTCAAATTAACAACTTTCCACATCAGTCGAATCTCTTTATCCTGCTCAGTGATCCAGCGATCGTCAAGGCGACAGCGGCAGACAAGAAGAAGCGTGGTTCAGCCAAGTTGCCACGTTCGTATGGATTTTGCTGTGGAGCGTCCACGAAAGGATTGACCAATAGTACCGTTACTGCTCTTACTGGTGAGATTCCGCCTACAACTCCGCTGCATGTCCGCGTAGTCTATCACCATGATCAGCAGTATCTTGGTGCCGCCATCGAAGGCACGGACATCGCCGGCAGGGTCGATAATGTCGTTGTGAAGTCCGGCATGCATTGGTGTGTGCGCATGGGGTATGTGGAAACGCGCGTCACTCTGTGTAACACCCTACCGTAAAGGTGACACTGCTTGCCGCCGGCGCGCGTCTATACCTGTGTGCCTATCTGCTACATGCTATTGTCTACTTCGACTTCTACCGCTCATATCCATCGCCCAGCTTGGTTCCACTGTCAGTGTGTGGTGATGACTGTGAATGTCACACTAGTCGTCGGCACGAGCTTTTACCTAATATGTTCTTGTCTTCTACTTGCCTGTGTTGTTGCTCTTGTCCCAAGGACTAAGGTACTAGTTTTTTGTCTTGTCCCACCATCCCCCGGCAAAAAGAAGCAGGACGTAATTTCTTGTTCAATTTACTCCTTGTAGCTGTTGGGACTGCATTGTTTGTGTTGCACAGCCATGACTGCCCTCCCGTGACTGTGCCTGTATCACATAATACCAACCCGCATGGCTGTATGCGCTGATTGTCTCTACACTGTCGCCTGTCCCCAGCACATACGGTGTGCCAATCCTGCGTGCTACTTGTCATGGGCCTCGGCAACACTGTGCATGTCTGCATGTTGGTTTGCCACCGTTGTGCATTATTTCACACACTCTCATGTATGACTTGACTGTGCTTCAAATCTGCTTTGCTTTGAAGTAGTCGTCCTGTGAACCAGACTCCACTGATGTGATGCTGGTGCTGCTACATTTCATGTCATTGCGAGTACTGCCGCTGCTGCTGCTGCTGCTGCTTTTTGAACGTGCCACCGTTGACCGTCGTGTTCAAATAAATACACCTTCGTCCTTTACTAATCCAGCGCCTAGCACGCTAGTGTATTCTGTAGAAACCAATGTGTTGTGCACGCTGCAGCAGTACGTAAAGTTTGTGAATCCAGCACGTGAGCGGGCTGCACGTGCCGGACATGCTCCATCACACAATGAGTGCGAGCTTACCGAGGTTCCCATGGGCCCCACTGCACTGCGCTGGCAAATTGTTGCTCTTGTCATTGACTGCAGAAATACGTGTATGCCTAGTACCCTCTCTTTTCCTGGCATGTGCTCAGACTGGGTAGTAGTCTTAGTTGATTCCCTTTCTAAAACACAATTTATATTGGCTCTAAGTCTGAAAGTTAGACTACTAAAAGCATTTAACATTGCTGTGAGTGTAGATTCAGAATCCCAAAACTGTCCGGAAATGTGAACTTCGTTTCTAGCCAAGTCCATGTGTGTAGTAATGATAAGTACTGATACTTATTGCAAGGGATGCACCACACAATTGTAAAACTATACTAAAATATATTATTATGTTTGAGTTGTCAAGCTTTAGCAAGCCCAATGGAGTAACAATCCCGGGAAGACACTCTCAATAATTTTGTAATAATGTCGTGTTACTGAAATGCATTCTGGTCGAATTGTCGTGCACCTGCCGTGTCGGCCTGGGTTTTGCCTGTTATGATGTGTATCAATCTCTAGCTGAAAGATTGCGTGATCTGAGTGCCATGCATGCTGTTCACATATTGACTGAACCGAGTCATATGTATAATGTACATGTACATGTCTTCCGTTGTGATAGCCCTGGCTATAAGGTATATTGAGTTTGTGCATCCGTCAGAGCGCTTTCATGGGGGTGCATCATTCGAATTACATGGTTTCAACGTTACTTGGCGTCGCTCAGCATCTGGGAGTGGTGAACATCCCCCCCCCCCCCCCCACACACACACTGCTCTCTCTCTCTCTCTCTCTCTCTCTCTCTCTCTCTCTCTCTCTCTCTCTCTCTCTCTCTCTCTCTCTCTCTCTCGCTCTCGCTCTCTCCCCCTCCCTCTCTCTCTCTCTCTCTCTCTCTCTCTCTCTCTCTCTCTCTCTCTCTCTCTCTCCCTCTCTCTCTCTCTCTCTCTCTCTCTCTCTCTCTCTCTCCTTGACGGTGCTTGTTGTCTTTTTGTTTGCCACTCTTGGTTTCAGAGAGACGACTTTCATCAACCTGCTGGACTGGCAGAGGCAGCTGAGCCGTGTTGCTATACATGACTACATGGGTGTGGAGATGTGGCTCTCGGTAAGGATCACTCCAGTCGATTCCATGAAATACTGGATATCCCAATCCGCTTGTTAGTACTGAGAATCCCAGGCGGGCAAAAAAACCAAATTTCTCACCAATGCCACTACTGTCAGTAGTACTGTTACTTTCTCTCTTTCTTTCTTCTTGTCGGCACTATAACCCCCGTACACTGTATTAACCGACTAACCATCCACGGCTGTTTTGTTTCTGCTCTAGACACTCTTGCACCAGGCACGCTACACGCACGTTCCGGTCGGAAACTTGCCCAAGGACATTCCGCTGTTTGCAAGCGATGTGTTCTACGCGCGGCACTTGTTGAAGCAGAACCACTTGCTCTGGGTGTCGGAGAGTGCTCGGCCAGACCTCGGCGGCAAAGAAGAGGATGACAATCGCCTGATGGTCGGTGACATGTTCGGTACTAATGTCGGCACGAGTGGCCTAGAGATCAACCATCCAGCCTACTACCAGACTGTCTGCGTGGAGTTGACGCTGGACAGCTTAGCTGTGAACACTGTTCTGCAGGTAGGTGACGACAGAACGAACCTAGAACCTACCTATTTCAAGAGGTCTGAAGCGTGTGCAGCCTTAGAATCCTTTGGCTTTGTCATAACTCCACTATAAAAGACATAACAAATTTCGCTCAAATTGTGTCAACTGTCGGTCATAACTTATGTAATGTTGGCCTGATTTTCAAAATCTTGAGTTCGCCGGAAAGCTCTTATAAGAACGAACACAATGAGCTATCACCCAGCAAAGTTTAAGCAGCAGGCCCAGCTCTACAGCCTAGCAAAGTCACCATTTCGCTGGGAGTGCCCTCAATCCCTTTCTCCTTCAGCCATTTCATTTTCATTGCTCGCCCAGCTCCTTTTTTCTTTTCTAAATTGCTGCAGCAGGTAGGCAGCACCAGAATCTTCACGCATTCTTTGATGACTGGGAATGGACAACAAGGGGGAATTTCCCGTTTCATACCCGAAAATGTGCTTGGAGTGAGAAAAGTGTTGTCAACAAACTTTCGAGTGTGATATCTCAACAACTGTTGTAGCTATGGTCGAAATAAGTACACCATTGGAAAGCTGAGGATCCTTCGATTTTACAATAGCATTTGACTGTTATGGCTGATTGAACATTAGCGGAATACCGTCGAAATTTGTAAAGTGTGGAGCCAACGCGTTAAAAATATATGCAACTCTGAAAATAAAAAAATAATAATATAATCTTAACTGACGAAGTCCAGCCTGTGTTGCTCTTTTCGAACGCACCATGGCGCGCTTGAATCCGTTCAACCTCCCAATTCGTTTTCAAACGCACCACGGCGCACCTGAATCCGTTCATTTCCTTTGGCTTTGGATGATTAGTACACTCGTACACGACATCCCCCTGTCTTCTCTTTCCATGTGTCCGGTACACTTGTACCCCCCCCCCCCCTCAGCCGGGCTCAGGGTCGACCAGAGTTCCCTTTCCCCTCCCCTACCTTTGGATGCCTAGCACACTCGTACACGACGCCCCCCCCCCCCCCCCCCCCCCCCCCCAGCCGGGCTTAGGGTCGATCAGAGTGGCCTCTTTCCAAAACTTTTTCAAAAACGCACCATGGCGTGCCTGAATCCTTTCAATCTTTTCATCCTTGGATGTCTCGTACACTCGTACACGACGTCCCCCTCAACCGGGCTCAGACTCGACCAGAGTGCCTTCTCTCCAATGTGTCTAGTACACTCGTACACGCCCCCCCCCCCCCCCAGCCGAGCTCAGGGTCGACCAGAGTACCTTCTCTCCTAGTCTGGTACACTCGTACACAACGTCCCCCTAAGTGGTCCTTTCCGTACCTCCTGACACGTTGCCTTAGTCCTGTGTTTTCCAGTTTGACCAGGAACACTGATTACAAGTATTTCAATTCCTTCCAGTTTTGGATATTTGGGACACTCGGCGTTTCCGCTGAGTGCCCCTGAGCCTGCCGTCTCTAGGACTTGTCACCTAGTCCCCTACACTGTCCTAGTTCGGTACTGTGTTTCCTGCGTGTGTTGCACACTTCCCACACATTTCACATGCTGGCGTTCCCGTCAGCCCGTGTATCCTCTCATGAATATGCTGCATTTTAGCCCTGAACTAACTAAGAGGCAGCATGCTCTACTCACTGTTAGAATAAAAGTGGGGCAACGACCACTTTCATTCTAATGACTGCATGACCATGAAGTAATAGTTCATACTGCAGCTCCTAATATACTACCGGTGATGACACCGTGTAAAGTGTGTTATACACCTGTACCCGTTCATACCGCTGAACAAGCGTGACTCCTGAGTCCTAACCCTGTAGGTCAGTTTCACTGCTGAATAGTTATATCCCGAACCAGCTGACCCTCTTGTGAGTACATTACTCGTTGGTTCTACAGTTGTGGCAAGTGAAATCCGACACTTGGCACAAGGGACTGCACCATGCAGTCTGCAGCCCCTGCAGCCCTGCATACGTACAGTACATGTGTTACATACAACTAACTTTATCTGTCTGATGACAAAACTCGTACTCATCACAGTCAAGGTTCAAAAGGTGCTGGCAAAAATGAATGGGGATTGGATACCAATACTCCTTATGTGTACCATATTTGTGAACTGTGTGTATCTACGCTGTAACCTTTCGATCTGTTTGGGATGCATACGGCTCCATAGTGCAAATTAGGTGCAGTGCATTACACCATTGGTGTCCATTTGTGGCGCTGTCCCCTATGGCAAGTGTCGGATTTCACTTGCCACAACTGTAGATATATGCCCAGTTTCCTCGCTCCACGTATCATAGGCTTATACATGCCGCTCTGTTCTCGACCAAACAATCTCAAGATATGAGACTACCCTACAGGTTTGGCCCTAGCCTCCATTCCTCACCAAACACACGATCAGAGCGCAACCAGGTTTAGGTATAAGCCACTTCTATTGAATCAAGAATTTTTTTGTTGGTGGCTTCGGGGCCTTCTCCTTCTTTGTCTTACGTGAGTTTTTACGAGTTTTCTTTCTCGGCGGCTCCTCTTCCTCGTCTTCTCCGCGGTGGCCGGCATGTCGGCCCAATATTCGGAAGGATGTCAATGCCAAGAAATCTAAATCTTCCTTGAGTTTCCAGATATGTCGCCCCTGGTCCGGCCGACCAACACCGTCAAATAGCGCGATGGCCCTCTCGAGACATTGCATCGTTGGTGTCTCCCGCCCCTGGCCTGCCTCTTGTGCCGGAGAGTTTATCTCCTCTATCATTTCCTGCGCCATTCTATTTAAGACAAATTGCCACACCAGAAAAGAACCGATGATTAGTCCACATTGAGTGAAGGATCCTGGTCACAGCACCAAATGTCATGACCCGACATCAAGGGTCAGTCAAAAAGCCTGCGTTGCGAACAACGCCGAATAGGATCGCCACGAAGTGTGAGCAAGACCCAGAACCCCAAGTGCACAGTATATGCACACCATCACTCAGCAGCCCACCAAGAGTTCCATTGCCAAGGACATAACTTGTAGATAGGTCAAGATAAGAAGGGGATAGAAGAGATAACAAGACGAGAAGGCAGTGTCGGAGCGAGAGGACGAATGCAACAAGAACAGGGACTTATATTCGGGAAAGCAGCCAATCAGAACAAACACACTGTACTCACTAGTCATAATGGCTAGTCATAAAGGCGGGATAAGGGAAGGCATAGAACGGTAGAAGCTAGTTTCATTATTAATTGCAATACAGTTTCGTAAGAGAGCGCCGCATATAGGCGGGATAAGAGAAGGTGTAGAACGGTAGAAGATAGATTGCAATACAGTTTCAGAATAGAGCGCCAGATTGTTACAGTTTCATAGCAGTTAGCAACGGTGAATGTGTGAGTGCGTAAAGACTATGATTGTAGTTACATGAGGTAATGATGATGTAGTGAGTTCGAGTTAACGTACTGTTGTTGTGGTGCTGGCGCGACTCATCAGCTTGCCGATCGCTTGTCAGCTGGTGTCGATTCCTCGCGTGCCATGATTGAACAGCACTAGAACGTCGATTGTCAAGACTCAAAACCTACGTGAGTAGGAGAGTTTAGTTTAGTCTTTGTTGAGTCTTTTACACACGTCTGCTGTACTAGTCGGGCCCGCATCCTCTGTTCTCACTTTCTTTCTGCACAGTTCAATCATCTGAACGAGCTTGATGGAGGACCAACGAGCAGTGTAGTTAGTTTGGACACGGCGCCGCAGTCATCACTGGAGGATATGATGACAGGTGGTGCCGGGTCGTCCGTGTCCGCCTACGACGAGTCTGCACAGTGTTTCAGTTCCTTCCGGTAAGGACATATGCACACGCTTTGCCACTGGACATGTACACGCTTTGCCACTGCCCTTCTCCTGTTGCCGTATCGCAGGCAATTTCTTTTGCGTTTCTGGCACAATTGCTGTCGGAATAATTTTTCTTCCATCCCTTTAGCGGCCTTCCGTTGATTGACCGACTGAGACTTGATGAATATAAAGACTGCGATAAAAGAGCACTGGTGTTTTACCATTTCTATGACCAGTGAGAGTTATTATGATATGTATGTGACAGTCCACGTGGTTCTGTTAAGAATCCACCGTGTTATGATAGCTTGTATTTCCTGGTCTGGTGGTGTCAACAGAACATGCGCCAGTCACACCTCTTACGATTTGCTACGAGCATGTGTATTATTTTATTGTCACGAATTTCACCTGCAACTCACGCTATCTCTGTGTTTCCCTATGCTGTTTGGTGGTGGTGGTGGTGGTGGTGGTCAGAATCCTACGCTCCATGATCCACAGCTGGCTGCATGAGGTCTCATCCTTCCAGAACCCAATGGCCGACCAGCAGCTGCAGCACTTCTACCGGTATGACATTCACGCTGTATCACTGTTGTGCGTGACTGTGTGAGGTGTTTGATAAATGCAGAGCAACCCAATCCTGGCACAATCCTTGCTGCCTATCCCCCGGCAGAGCACAGCAGTCGCAATTTTGAGTTTTAAGTCAGCTGTCGTGAAACTTGCTGCACACATTGATGTGATGCATTGTTGTGTGGACAGCACAGAGTTTATTACTTGCTACGTAAAGGGGCTTTGCAGCATTGTGCTCTTTGCTTGCACCCTGCAAGATATAAGAAGCTGTGAGACACACAGGCCCTGAACACTCCTTTGGTTGATCTCATTTCCAATTGAGTTTCTGCATGGCATACTTCACTGTGTTTATTCGTTGTTGTTTTTTTCTGATGATGATGATGATGATGTGCAGTTGGCTGCGATCACCGGATGCATTGCTTCATGACCCGGCGCTATGCCGTGTTGTGCATGGTTTGATGAAGAAGTACTTTCTCCAGGTGAGCTGCTGCTGTTGCTGCTGCTTGCAGCTGACTGACTGTGGTGCCCGCTCACACACTACTCTCTCTCTCTCTCTCTCTCTTTTCTTTTTAATACTTGATGGTTTGTTGTCAATTGAGATTAGATTGGGTTGGGTTGGGTTGGGTGGAGGGAAGCCTGGGTGAGAGTCCAGTATCCATCATTTACCCCTCTGTGTTATCTGCACTATTAAGTAGTTCACTGTGTTTGCTGTGGACTTCATTCTTGCTTTCAACTCCACTGTTTTGTAAGCTGCGACGTGAGAGTTGGCAAGCCTATATTTTACCACAGCCGGTACTAGGATCTGCTTCATTGCCGTGTCGTCTAATCACTTTTACTGCCTGTTGTGGTGGTAATGGTGGTGTCGTCTTCACTGTGCAGCTAATTGCCGAGTTCAAGCGTTTAGGATCCACCATCGTGTTTGCCTCTTTCAGCCGGATCATTATCTGTACAAAGAAGAAACGGTGAGAGCCTTGGCTATGCTACTGTGCTATTGTTGCCTCTGCCAATAGCTCACAGTACACTGGTAAATGCCACATGCAATCGTGGATGTCCTATGGAGCTTTCGAATGAGTTATCGAACAAACCCCTATCCAGGCAATCATCTTGCATGCACATATGTTCTGTGACTTAGACTATGCTCTGTGTGTGTTTGTGCGTGTGTGTGTGCGTGCGTGCGTGCGTGTGTGTGTGTGTGTGTGTGTGTGTGTGTGTGTGTTTGTGTGTGTGTGCATGTGTGCGTGCGTGTGCGTACGTGTACATGTGCGCGTGTGTGTACATGCGAGTGTGTGTGTGTGTGCGCGCGCACGCGCGCGTGCGTGCGTCCATGCGTGTGTGTGTGTGTGTGTGTGTGTGTGTGTGTGTGTGTGTGTGTGTGTGTGTGTGCGCGCGCTTGTGTGTTTGCGTGTGTGTGTCGGTGTATAGACTGGGAGATGCTTTTGCCTATGTCCAGTACGTGGTGAACAGTATCCAGTCACGGGACCTGTTCCAGCATCTTGGCATTGAGCTATCTGCATGCTGGCAACACCTATTATGGATGGACCAGGTGAGTTAGCCACGCTTGAACAGCCCAGGGCCCGGGTTGGGGGGGGGGGGGGGGGGGGAGCTGGAAGAGGAAAAAACTACTTTCATTTATACATGTACTTGGAGCTGGTCATGCAACACAAATACATGTGAATACATTGTATTTAGTTCTGGCAATATGGCGTTTTCCATGTAGGCTTTGTAGAGTGTATAATATGAGCAAGAGTACATAACCCCCCAGAGTGTGCAACGCTGATCCAGTTCTGCATAGGGTTTAGGTCGAGCGGAATCGGATCTTCTGATGTCATGCGTACAATCCACACCAGCGCAAGGCCGGTCTCGAGGCAGGGCACCGTTGTTTTTGATCCGAGAGTACCCGCGACTCCCCGGGTTCCCCTCAGAGGTGTACGGTATAATGACGCAAAGATCCGATTACGCTCGACCAAGACCCTATGCAGAGCTGGATCAGGCGTTGCACACTCTGGGGGGTTATGTACTCTTGATATGGATAGGTGTTGATGCGCACGTAGCAGCAAGGTCACTGTACACCGTATGCTTACATGTAGGAAATTGCCTGGAATGGATTTCAGAATCTGTTGTTGTTGTTGTTGTTGTTGTTGTTGTTTCAAATCTTTATTCTCACGATAGCCAGTGGTCAATAAGAGATAATAGTGTAAGAAAGGAGAAAGAGTGAGGAAGAATTGGGTGGGCAGGGCCAAGGGGTTAATGACTACTTAAGTGTACGGGCAGGTGTGGTCGCTACACGAGCATACAGAGTTGTGTACTTAAGTGTACGGGCAGGGGTGGTCGCTACACGAGCATACAGAGTTGTGCAACAGCAGGGATATCTGGGATTTGCAGGGAGTACGAGAAGGAATTTCGCGAAGCTGGGTGGGCAAGCAATTAAAGTAATGAAGGGCCTTGTACAGGGGAGAATGGAGACAGCGGTCAGTCCGCGGAGTTGGCAAGTGCCAAGTACGAGAGCGACGTAAATTATACGAAGGTTGCACGTTGCTAGCAGTATGCATCGAGAGTATATGTGGTGGGGCATAATTGTGGCGCAGAGAATGCGCGAAGAGTATATGTTTAACTTCAAAGCGTGAAAATAATGTTGGCCATTTGATGCGATGCAAAAGGTGGGAGTGTTCTAAGTGTGTGTAAAGGGGAAGGTGGAGACATATTCTGGCGGCTTTCCGCTGGAGTCGTTCTAGCCTGTCAAGGGAAGTGTGTGACAACGGTGTGTTGTTGTTGTTGTTGTTGTTGTTGTTGTTGTTGTTGTTGTTGTTGTTGTTGTTGTTGTTGTTGTTGTTGTTGTTGTTGTTGCCTGCAGTCTAACTATGCTGGTATCTGTGGCCGCATGCCCAAGCCACTTGAAATGAGCGCTGACAGTCCAGATGGGCATGGACATGACATGGATGATGAGCAGCCATCAACGCCAACTGGCAGTGATAATGAGGTACAGTGCAGCTAAGGCTGACTCTAGTCTGTGATAATGAGGTACAGTGCAGCTAAGGCTGACTCTAGTCTGTGATAGTGAGGTACAGTGTAGACTCTAGTCTGTGATCTAATCAACACAGTATTCTGTCATGTCTACAGAGACTCATGACTAGAAAGACTCCTGCCATTTAACTTTGTTATCAGCCAGTAATGAACTGCCGTTGTTTTGTGAGATGTGCTAATACACATTAACCCACATGCATGCACCTGCCACCGCACACCCAAGTGTGCGTGCACACACCCGCTAGGCCTTGTGGCCAAGCGTAATCATATTATGTATACACACGCATGTATTCCACATTGCAATATGCTTGCAAAACTTGCTCGCACCAGCACACCAAGCATAGAACCTAGTTGGGGGGTTTGCCATTATCTTTTTTTCACATTTGTCACTCTTTGAAATATCACCAATGATAGCAAATTGCCGTGTTAGCAAGAGCCATTGGGCACAACAAGCCTATGCATGGCTCATAATTCTTATCGCCTCATAACGCGCACAGCACGGCAATTTGTAACAAGCACAATTGGCAAACATGTCACCCGGCAACAGCAAACGGGTACATCGTTACAAACAAGGTGCCCCGGCAAACTCAACGGGAACGCACCAATACAAACACGGCCCCGGCAACAGCAAACGGGTACGCCGTTACAAACATGGTGCCCCGGCAACAGCAAACGGGAACGCACCAGTACAAACACGGCCCCGGCAACAGCAAGCGGGTACGCCGTTACAAACATGGTGCCCCGGCAACAGCAAACGAGAACGCACCAATACAAGCTGGCCTGGCAACTTCAAACAGGCACAACTGACAAACTACGGTACCCAGCAACAGCAAATGGGTACACTGTTACAACACCAGTCCATCACATCAAGATGCCACTGCCACAACATTGCAGCAGCAACACAGCAGACATGTATACGTGGCCCTCCCAAAAACAGACACCTGGAGCCAAGCGCATCCATCACACTGCTTATCAGGGCCGACGTGAGTGACAATGGCAAACCCACCTAATGCTTATAGTTAAATGATGGGATCTGTATACCGACTATCGTCACGGAATCAATAAATGTCAGCAGAGCATAACACTCACTTGCGCTCACACCCTGTCACGTAGAGATGCTACTCTACTTGTCCATTGGGGTGGCATGCCGGCCACTTGCCGAACATAGCGCTCAGAAGCTGTACTGCGCCACCGCCCTGCCCGTCGTATCACCGCTTCACTTGCACCTCTGGACGCCAGGAGTGTCGCCCCACCAATCCGCATGGAGTGGGAGCTCACCTGGTTGCAGTTGAGAGCCTGACGAAGTATCTTGTTCAAACATGGCGGAGTAAGGTAATTCCCTTCAGCAAAAGCGAACACAGGCTTAGAGCTGCAGGCATGAGCTGTCGTACGCCGGAATTCGGACATTGCCAGTACCGGGCACGTTTCGTCGCCAGTAGAAGACACCGTGACAGGTCCACCGTCGCCAGATTGGCGCGTCTTAGCGACTTTCAGCCGCAACGTGACAGAGTCGGGTGCAATACTGACAACCGTCCACACAAGTGCTCTTTGGCTGTCAAACGTGTGAATAAAAGGCGCCAGATACTCACTGGCACGCAGCAAGCCATAGAAGGCTAGAGTTACACTTGCCCACAGCATAGTCTGATCCACATATGCATAATTTGAACGTTGCAAGTATCGCCGGAAATGGATCAAGTCGTCCACCGAAAGCTCTCTCCGAGCCAACGCTGAGGGGGGTTGCCGTCTCTCTATGCCATGCAACACTGCTGTCAGGCGAGCAGACTTTAAAACATCCACTGCCGCCCCATTGCACAACAGGTAGTAGCGGACTGCCGCTAGGTAAACGCGAAGGGATGACAGAGACAGACTTCTTACAACAAAGAGACTAGCGGTGAAGGACACAATATTTTCAGTAGTAGGAGAAAGTGCCACAATGGAGTTAGTACGGCAGAACTCTAAATATGCAGCAATACCAGGCTTAAATGTTTGTTTGGTACGCTCCGAGACGGAGTCCTCAACTAGCGCGTCACTGGCCGCACTCAGAGCAGCGAGCTGGGGGAAGGTACGTGTACTGGATGGCTGCAGGCTGCGGGGGCCAGTTCTCGGAACCGAGACATCTGAAACCGAGACAACGCATCAGCCACAGCATTATTTACACCAGCAATGTGCCGTATGAACAAAATGTAATTGCCAGACGCAGCTTCAGCCAGCAGAAATCTGATAATAGCCATTGCATTCTTGTTACGACATGACCCTTTCCGCCATGCCAGCACAGCAGCCTCATTATCGCAATGGAACATAAGCCGCTTGCCAGACCAAGCATGACCCCAAACAGCGCAAGCTAGAGCAATAGGGATCAGCTCGCGAACCATAATCGGTTCGTCGAGCAGTTCAGCGGGCCACCGTCCCAAAAACCACTGGCGGTCATAATAGCCACCAAAGCCTACATCTGAAGCATCAGTAAAGAGATCAAGATCAGGGGATGTGGACCACTGGAGGTCATGAAAGAAAGAACGGCCATTCCAAGTGGCGGCAAACCGACGCCACCACGCAATGTCCAAGCGAGCTTCGGCATCGAGGGTAATGGTAGACTGCAGGGAGGGAGCGGTGCAGCTCAAGTCGATGAGGCGCCGGATGAAAGTCCGACCAGGAGGCACCACCTCATGAACGCCTACTGCCGATGGAGCCAACAAGGAGACAGCTGGCTCTGGCTCTGCCAGAACGGGCGGAGTAGCAGAGACGGGAGCCGGGTCCGCAACGCCAACTGGGGCAACAGCTAGTTGAGGCAGCACCGCGTAAAGGGCGAAGTGATAAGAGCCTGGAGCTCGGCGGTCTGCGCAGCAGAGAAAGCCGACCGGTCTCGCCGTGGAGGCATTGTAACAAGGTAATCCGAACACGGACGGACCACTGAACAGAAAGTGAGAGAAATTACCAGCCTGACGCGGAAAGCACTTTTTGTCCAAAGGAAAAGACAAACCAAACTGCATTCAACTAGCTACTGCAGCGCGCATAAAGGCAACAGTAGCAGCAGTGCAAAAAATGCAAATTACAGATCATACTCGGCACAGAATAATAATTAATGATATGCATCATGAGACCATCACTGCGCATGTGCCCGCGTGGTCTAACTTGGCTTTGCTACTCAAAGCCGGCATTTATGTGTGTGCGCATCAGAGAGTACATTTACATTGCTTCGTGCTGATGTGTTTGCTGCAGGATGAGGCGGCACAGGAGAAAGCCGATGTGCTAGATTTCCACTGGGACATCAGTACCTACCTGCCAACGGCGGCTTCTTGCCAGAAGAACTTCTTGGTAAGTGCTGCCACGCAGTATCGAGTCATAGAACCGACTGCTTTGCTGCTGCATGCTGTGTCAGTCCCAATAGTGTAGCCATGGCAGACTAGACACACTATGTGCGTGTGTGTTCTGGTATGATTGTGGTCAATGATTATGATCCATGTACGGGGGAGAGAAGCATCCACATCGTTAATACAGTCATGTATCTTCAGGAGGCGGCAAAGAGGAAGAGTGTTGGGTTAAACACAATTGTACCCGCTGCATTGCTAATTGCAATTATATGCTTTCGGAACAAGACCGGACTCCAGCCTCCCATGGCCCACCCAGTAGCACATGGTTCGTGGGAATGGCTTTAATTCTTGACAGCCCCTCAGCAGGCTCCTTTGAGCGCGGAAGAGGAAAATGTTGCTCTCTGTTTACACTGCTGTGTTTTGCTGGTCTTCTAGGTGGACCTTTACTAATCTGTGATCAAACTCTTGCCAAACAATCTCTGTTTGCTTTTGTCTTTTGTACGTACGTGTTGCCACCATATTCACCGGATTTACCGGGTGTGTTAAACTTCATTGGTTTGAGGGAATGATGCAAACGGGAAAAGTCTGAAGAAATATTTGACTGTCACCACCAAGACTCAAACCAGGGACCTTCGCTTGAGGCCAGCGATGCTCTAGCCACTGAGCTATGGTGTCTGGGTTTTTTAAAAACTTGTTTTTGTTTTTCTTTCCACCATAGGCTATCATCGGTGGCCATGTGCGTGCTGTCTACCAGCATGCCATGGAGGAGAACATGATCATGTCGTCTGGCATGACACCCGTGCGCCGTCGTGGCAACAGCAGTCAGAGCCAGGTCAGTGGCTGTGTATGTATGTATGTACATGTATGTGGTCATGTGCTGGCAGGGTACTAGTCATGTGCCGGTGGGGTACTAGTAGCTATGTGCTGGGGGGTAGCCTTGTGCTGGCGGGGTAAAATGTTTGTTTGGGAATTACAGGGAAGAACACCCTTTGAGTGGAAGGTATTCTTCCACTTGCACTTTGTCATCTTGGCCATCTGTGAGCCTTTATGAGGCGTTCCTAAACTAGAAATCACTAGTCTGTAGATATCACACGGAGAAGATTGAGTAAGAGTGGTGAGACTTTCTGCAGCTTTATACTGTACATAGAACATGGTGTACAGCAGACCTGTTCTTTCCCGATCACACCCAATAAAAGCGAGTTTGATGATTGCAAAGTGATCGGGATCCAGCAGGTCTGCTCTAGACTGTTGCGTTGTCAAGAAGAACCATTTATTTCCCATCAACATCAGTGTATAAAGAAGCACATAAAAGGTGTGTGTTTGTGCGTGCATAGTGAGGGCACGTGCGTACGGGATACGTGCACAGTGCAGACTACTGTACTACTACAACATAGACCACCTACTGCAGTGGGAACTGGCATATTAACCTCTTTAGCACGACGCTACCTGAGCGCGCCCCACGTCAACACCTGTAAAAGTCGCATTTTCCCATGAAAATACTAGCTGCTCAAGGATCCATAACTTTACCTTCCCTTGGACGAATTCCACGATCTTGAGCTTCCTAGAAAGGTCTTGAGACGAGGGACAAACTGGTGTCAAACCCAGCTCGCAGCGAAACCAAAACCCCGTGCTACCGTCTGGCAAACTTCATCCATCCACGCGCTCGACAGACTTGAGCACGGCCAAGACTAACCGAGCTCAAATATTCAGCTGCCATTTCGGTCTCCTTGCTCGTATCGAGCTCAATTTTTTTGTGATGACTCACGAGATCCACTACCATCATTTGAATTTTGTTTCCATGGCAGCAGGTAGCGCAAAAATGATCCATGATGGAAAATACGCGTTCTGCAGACTGCGCAAAAAGTTGAAAAAGTTGAAATTTGCCGTGTCGAGTTGCATATCTCAACAACCGGTAGTCGCATCGCTTAGGCGATTGTTTCCATCGCCAGCTGAGAGTTTTCTCTCGCAGATACATGTTTCGATTGTGAGAATCGACCAAGTATTGAGTGAGTTACGATAGTTTGAACAAGTCACTATGGACTCAACACGGACCCCACGACTATGAGATGCAGGTTCACTTTACAGTGTACAGCGCGCGTCGTACTAGTACGACGGCCGTGGGGCATGCAACTCATGTGCGTCGTACTAGTACGACGCTCGCGCTAAAGGGGTTAAAATGTGTGTGTGTGTGTGTGTGTGTGCAGGGAGGGGGGAGGGGGGCTATTGTATTGATTTAGTACACTTACTCACAATACATCATGGTTTTCTGTTGTTGTTTTTGCTCTTGTCTGTCACGCTCAGGTTGCCAGTGACACTGCGGCAACAGCTAGTGTTGTGACCTTCTCGCAGGAGAGAGTCGCCGGTCCACTGACAAACACGATGTTCTCGTATGTAACATGTGCTGTGCTCCTAAATACTGCATCGCTGGTTTTGACTTCACTCTGCAGTGTCATTCAGGGCATCCCGGTAGTAGGAAGGAATGCATGGTTTTTCACTCTAATCAACTCCTTTTGTCCTGCAACATTTTAACTGTTGTATGGGACTGCGTAACCATGGTTACGTATGCTGTGTTATCAATAGTATGCCTGTGGTGAGTGTCCGTGTTCACTGTGTTGCCTGAGTGTGGAGTAGATGTGCATGCACCAGCACCAGCCAGTGCCTAGGTGCTGGGCGTACTTGAATACTCGCCATAGTGATTCACTCTCCTCGTGGCATGTGTGTGTATGTGTGCTGTATGCATGGCGTATATGCATGACGTGCATGTCTTGGCTTCAGGCTGACACAGGGAATCTTGCACAAGCTTGGTTCTGGCAGCAAGAGCACGGATAGCAACTCGCTGTTCCCCCAGCACGCTGGCTCTCACTTGACGCTTCAGAACCCGTCGCTGGAATTCGTCAAATCCGTATGCCATGTCCTGGCATTGGACCCAAACATCCGCCATCAAGTAGCCAAACTACGGTTAGTTGTTGCTAGTATGTGGAGATGATGGTGATATCCAGTAGCCTGATGCTTGTGCACTTTGGCATGTGCGATATTCGCTGCTCGCCACAATGTGGATGTAAAGTCGATCTGCCTTTTTAGAAGGTACTCTTGTGACATTGCAGTGATGTATGTGTACGAGTCGTATAATACAGCGGACATGTCAAGTATCCGAATAGTTCCATAAGGCCCAAACAAAAAATAGGCTTGTTTCCGGTCGGCAACCCCTCAAAAAGGAGACTCGGTCGGCCGGAATGAAACTTTTTTTGGACACTTTTTTTGGTTCCCCAATCGTTGTGGTATTGATGGACAAGAGCACCTACACATGTACATTGTACATAATCATGGCAAGGATCAATGTCAAATAATTTGACTGACTCACTGTTCTTGTACAGCATGTGGTGTATTCCTGTTTTCGTACATCCTGAGAAATCAAGCAAACAGTTCGAGTCCTTCCAGCTCCGTTATTCTAGCTCGTGTCGACCCCAGAGGTTTTCGAACCGACAGCTGAGAATCTCTGCTACCTTGTAGCTGTTTCGATTGTGAAATTCGGTTGAGATTTGACCGAGTTACATGTATGACGTGGAGTGCACTTGCACACATGGCATTGCCACCGTTTGTATACATTTGGGCCAAAAAAAGTTTCAGAATTTGGGAAAAAGTGGCCCGGTCGGCCGACCGGAAACAAGGTCATTATTTGTTGTGGCCTAATTATATGAGCTGGGCTTTTTTTCCTGTTCAGGCCGATGTGAGTGCAAGGCCTTTATTAAAATCAAGCTTGTTTTGCACACCAGATATTTCTATGTCAACAGTCTCAACACAAAGACAGGTGCTGCAATACCTATTTTGAAAGTTTGAAACTAAGTGTTGCTGCTGCTGCCGTCGCTGCCACTTTTGTTGTCCAGGCGTGATCTGCTGACATTGATCAAGTGTGGAGAGTTCAACAGGGATGCCGGATTCCTCAACCCATGCCTGTCATTTGTCTTGCCGGAGGTACACAGTCTTCGGAATCTGTTGATGATCACATGTTTTGCTCAAACTTTTTCAAGCTGCTTCGAAACGTGTGCTCTACAGTGAAGCTGCACTCAATAAACAATAATTATGCTGTCGGTGTCACTAGGAGGCACGAGTTCCTTTTATAAGAGACAATGTTGTTTCAATACATGGACGAGTGATTCTGTGCAGATTTCTAGCATACGCAGTACAGCATGCATACACACTTGAAATGTACTCAGCGGAGTAATTTTTCGATGGAAAGTCTTAATCATCTGATAGATCAAAAATGACAACATCCTGAAGACCTTGCCAGAAGTCATAAAGAGCCTGCACGTTGACGATGTTGGATTTTACTCAAAGGGACGATTGACTTCTACTCCCGTTGACTAGTACAGTGAGCCCTGTCTAAACCAACTGCTTCAATGTGGTCCCCATGCACAGGTGGTCTTGCTTATCCAGGGCCATTTGACTGGTAATAAAATTACTAATAATCCCTTGGTCCTGCGTGTAGTGGTTCTCTAGGACAGGTGGTCGCCTTGACAGGTATTACTGTCCATTCATAAAATTAATACGTGTACTTGGCACTGTGTTGCTCCATCCTTCAGGTGATTTGTCAGCACTGTAACGGTGTACGTGACCTGGATCTGTGTCGCGATGTCACCAAGACGGATGATGAAAGCGATGAGTATGTCTCTATCATTTCTATGTCATGCTTGAGAGCTTTAATAGGGTGTTGCTGTACTACGGTAGTTGAGGTACGTGGGTCTGTGTGCCAGAGTGGGCATTCGCACGTGTGTCTGTGTTTGTGTTGATGTATATGTGTGTGTGTATCTGTGTGTGTGTGTGTGTGTGTGTGTGTGTGTGTGTGTGTGTGTGTGTGTATCTGTGTGCGTACATGCGCGCGTGTGTGCGTGCATGTGTGTGTGTGTGTGTGTGTGTGTGTGTGTGTGTGTGTGTGTGTGTGTGTGTGTGTGTGTGTGTGTGTGTGTGTAGAATGTAGAATGTAGAATGAAAATAAAATGAAAAATAGGGATTCACTGGCCAGAAAAAGCCACTTCAATCAGCTGTGTGGTGGATACCAGGCTAAAATTAGTGGCGGTCAATTCATCAGCCTTGCAAGCTGTTGAATGGTGTAATCCCAGCACTAGTTGCTATGTCACACACACACACACATGCACGCACACACGCGCGCATGTACGAACATAGCTGTTCGCTATCATTGCTTCTGCAATGGGCAGGTCTGAGGTCTGAGGTGTGTGTGTGTATCTGTGTGTGCGTGCGCGTGTGTGTATGTGCATGTCGACAGGACAGGACAGGTATGTGCGCTTGCGCTCTTGGGTGTATCAGTGTATCTGCGTGTCTGTCAACGTCTGTAGTTCTGGGTGGTGTAGTAATCTGTCAGCGTCTGTGGTTCTGGGTGGTGTAGTAATCTGTCAGCGTCTGTAGTTATGGGTGGTGTAGTAATCTGTCAGCGTCTGTGGTTCTGGGTGGTGTAGTAATCTGTCAGCGTCTGTAGTTATGGGTGGTGTAGTAATCTGTCAGCGTCTGTAGTTATGGGTGGTGTAGTAATCTGTCAGCGTCTGTAGTTATGGGTAGTGTAGTAATCTGTCAGTGTCTGTAGTTCTGGGTGGTGTAGTAATCTGTCAGTGTCTGTAGTTCTGGGTGGTGTAGTAATCTGTCAGTGTCTGTAGTTCTGGGTGGTGTAGTAATCTGTCAGCGTCTGTAGTTCTGGGTGGTGTAGTAATCTGTCAGTGTCTGTAGTTCTGGGTGGTGTAGTAATCTGTCAGTGTCTGTAGTTCTGGGTGGTGTAGTAATCTGTCAGTGTCTGTAGTTCTGGGTGGTGTAGTAATCTGTCATTGTCTGTAGTTCTGGGTGGTGTAGTAATCTGTCAGTGTCTGTAGTTCTGGGTGGTGTAGTAATCTGTCAGTGTCTGTAGTTCTGGGTGGTGTAGTAATCTGTCATTGTCTGTAGTTCTGGGTGGTGTAGTAATCTGTCCTTACAGGCTTACACCAAGATAATGACTGTACAATGGCATACATTATAGTACAACATACTCTAGGCAAACTACTTGACTGTACAGTGTGTAAGGGTGGCCACATCATGCGAATTATTTTGTCCAAAATTGAAATTCAAAAAGCGAAAAAAACAGTCAAAATGTTTTAAGAAGATTTAAAAAATCCCCCAAAATGCAGAAGAAATTAGATCCGTTGCCATGGTTTTTTACAGTACTCGTACCCAATAGTTCCAAAAAAAGCAAAAAATTAAAATAAATCCACAAACTGCTTTTATCATGTGTGTCTGTGTGTTTCCAAATTCGGGGATGGGTGTCAAAAGGTCAAAGGTGTGTATTTGAAAGTACTGTTTTCACATGTCAAACTTGGTAATAATAATGAGCAGCACATGTACTCTCCAGATGTGACAGCACCAGGGAGTCGTCAAATATTTGACGACTCCCTGGACAGCACTGTCGTTCTCCAAAAACGGCCAAAATTCAATCCTGATGGGGCCAAAATTCCAAAAAAATTCAAAGTGCGAAAATCCAACCAAAATTCAAAAATAATTGAAAACATTTTGTGGACAAGCCTAACAGTGTGTACACATACTATGGCAAACTACTTGCAACTTCTGTGGATGGCATTACTAAGTATCAGCCAAATGGACGTGTTGGCATCATGTGAGCCATGTTATTCCGCCCTGTGTTTCTTTATCTGATCGCCTTCCCCAGTGGTCTCTGGAAGTGCCATAACTGCGGCCGGCCGTATGAGAAGGCACACATCGAGCACACACTCATCGATAACATTCAGAAGTTTTCAACAAACTATCTCCTCCAGGACTTGGTGTGCGTAAAGTGCAGAGGGGTAAGACAACTTGGGTTATCTGTGTGTGTGTGTGTGTGTGTGTTTGTTTGTGTGTGTGCATGCGTGCGTGCGTGCGCGCGGGTGGGTGGGTGGTGGTACGGGTAGTGGTGCAGGCCATAGAGGTGAAACTAATCCCTTGAATGTACAACAATGACTCATGTGTCTGCCCCATCCCTGTAACAAGTTGTGCGCTCAAGAATACGCTTGCTCTTGCAGAGGCAAACTCTCACCTGTCTGTTCGTGTTGTACATGTAGTACATCTTTTGACAATTATTTCAAAATAGCACATGTATTTTGCGGGCCTGTAGGATTATTTGCCATGTAATAGCACTGTTGTTTAATACCTGTGTCGAAAACGTTTGTTTGTACATGGTTGTATGGTGGCTGTGCAGGTCAAGGAGGGCAACTTGGCCAAAGTCTGCTCCTGTGCTGGATCATTCAAGCTGACTGTTTCGCCGGACGCGTTTGCAAGTAAAATCAAGACCTTCCGCAACATTGCTAGGTAAGAAGACTTGTCCTAGAGTAAGGTAGTGCAGCCAGTTTTGGCCAATATTAAAGGCCGTAGAGCCATGTAGGCCAATAAGGCCGTGTAGACCAATAAGGCCGTAAAGCTGTGTAGACCAATTAGGCCGTAAAGCCATGTAGGCTGATAGGGCCAGTAAAGCCATGTACTATAAGGCCACCTAGAATTAATTCGTTGTTTCGGGTCACTTCACTCATCCGTACCAGGGTTGGTCGGGTTTATTTTTTATTTTGGTTATTGCCATGTTTATGATTGTGCATACATGTACAATTGTGCATATCGAATAGCTTTTGTCCATCAAGCCAGTCGATCAAATCATGACTGTAGACGATCCAGCACAGTCATTGTCCCATCAGACCCAGGTCCCCTCCAGGACCAGACCTTGGCCTCGCTGGAGAGTCTGAGGAGCAGTTCTCACCTTGAAACGTCTGTCAAAGAGCGACGCGGTGGCGGAGCTGATGCTGTTTCAGGACCGATTGCGGATCGGAAGACAACATCGTCACCAAGCGCTTCATCCTGTTATTTTATTTGGCTGCTTCTGAGGTCGATGTCTTTCACTGCTAGCTATTATTAGGCGCGTGTGTACATATGTACGTACATAATCTAGTTTGAACAAACGGCGAGGAGACAACAATTTGATAACCGCAATCAGTAATACAAGCTGGATCGACATTTGTGTACACTGTATTCATGTATTGTAAAACTGTGGAGACAATGTGCAATAAAACGATGAAAAATGTGAAGAAATTGTGTAGAGAAAGAAAGGGATTCAAACAAGTTTTCGTACAACACTCATCAGGAATCGTCGTTGTACTAAAGGACACTGAAACAAAAATTGAACTATTATAGAAAATCTAAGTTAGAGAAATAACACTAAGAGCAACAACAGTGAAATTTACAAGTGTGAATTTTAACAATCAAAGCGAGAAATGAACAAAGGAGAAAGGAAGGAAAGACAACGTGATAACACATAACAGCAGTACATTAAACCTAGAACATTAACGGCCAAGCTTGGCCGCACTAAACACGACACGTTACTTGAACAATTTCAACCCAATTATACTATCTTTCTGTGTTTTGTGTGTACAGAAAGATAGTATAATTGGGTTGAAATTGTTCAAGTAACGTGTCGTGTTTAGTGCGGCCAAGCTTGGCCGTTAATGTTCTAGGTTTAATGTACTGCTGTTATGTGTTATCACGTTGTCTTTCCTTCCTTTCTCCTTTGTTCATTTCTCGCTTTGATTGTTAAAATTCACACTTGTAAATTTCACTGTTGTTGCTCTTAGTGTTATTTCTCTAACTTAGATTTTCTATAATAGTTCAATTTTTGTTTCAGTGTCCTTTAGTACAACGACGATTCCTGATGAGTGTTGTACGAAAACTTGTTTGAATCCCTTTCTTTCTCTACACAATTTCTTCACCTTTTTCATCGTTTTATTGCACATTGTCTCCACAGTTTTACAATACATGAATACAGTGTACACAAATGTCGATCCAGCTTGTATTACTGATTGCGGTTACATAATCTAGTCATGTACATTTGCATGCACTATAAAAAAATTGCGGTCGGGCGAAAAAAGACGGTCGGTCGGGTGACCTGAAACAACGAATTAATTCTGGGTGGCCTAAGTCAACAAATATCCGGCGCATATTTATTTTCGGCTATTTTCGGCCTGGTAATATCTGGCCGAAATTTTGTTGCGGCCGAAATTTTGTTTTGCAACGTTCAGTGTGACAGTGTATACAGGCAGCAGCAGTACAGGCCGAAAATTTAATGCGGCCGAAATGTATTTAGCCCTGTGAGGCCGAAATTTGAATGGGCCGAAATTGTGTAGACTCACAGTAGGCCGATAGGGCCAGTAAAGCCAGTTTGGCCATTAAGGCCAATAATAGGCCATTCACACTACAGTCCAGAAGTCACGTTTCCTTGGTTTCTTGGTAGGCGGCCATGGAAACCATGGTTTGGCGGGAGCCTTGAAAACGTGAGCCCGCAAACTGTCCCACGGCCTCGGCACCCCTGGCTGTACGTTTTCTCGGTTGCGATTCAAAGTATTGGCACCAGTGTCAGTCACTAAGTGGTTGTGTTTTTTTCTGTTTTCCTTTCGACCGACGACCATATCCAACCGAACTTTCAGTCCCGAGTCTGAGCGTATGCTCATCGAAATTTATTGCGACTTGCTGAAATCAACTGATCATAAAATCAATGATGACCAGAAGTGCGAAGGAGTAAAAAGCTACACACCTGCTGAATAATACTATTAATAGCATGGAAGCAGTCAGCCTCGCGAAACGCTTCTCCATGAAAGAAGTACACAACGATGTCGAGTCCCTCAAGAAGAAGGGACGAGAGCTGTACAAGGCCCATCGTCTACAAGACTTGTTGGTGAATTCATTTTATGAACATTAATCCAAAATTAATTTTCATGAGCCGACTAGCCCATGCTCAGGCATGCGCCATTTTATCTCCAAGACAACTTGGTCAGTCGCGGTGAAAACGCACACCCGCACCCGGTTTCAAATGCTGGTGTGAATGTCCCTGCCGCACAGTCGCACAACAGTGTACTCAAACCGAGAAAACGCGGATGCATGATCACGTAGTGTGAATGGCCTATAAGGCCAGTTAGTATGGCCAGCTAGGTCAAGGCAATGCAGAATTGGTCTCTGCTACAGCGTCCCCGCACTCTGCAGCCTAGCATATGGAACACGTAGTTGCACGACCAAGTCGCGGCGCCATGCCCAAAGATGAGTGTGTGCTTTCCTTGACCACTATTGCAACGCATGAAGTTTAGGCCGTGGTCGTTTGATCGGATCCAGATCCATAGAATCCACTCAATCTCTAATGATCTATTCGTCGACTTTGAATCCATATCCATCAGATTTTGAGCTGAGCAACCCTGCCCTGGGAGTAGGGTTGACTGAATCCAACGGATTTTATTCATTTTTTTCCAGAACAAGATGTTAAGAACACGTGAAACTCAGTGACCCACGGATGCAAGGGGTCCGACTGACGATATACCGGTACCGTGTGTGCGAGCTCGCCCACGTTGGACCGGAGTGATTTACAATGGGTGGCCTCAAAGATAGCGCACTTGTGTTTGGTGGCCTCCACTTGCCCGCGCCTGTACTAACCTCACTGCACCGTGCAGTAGGTGTACTATTTATACACTTACATTTCGGAGTGCCGGTTGTATTTCCTCTGCTGCCTGTCAGTATTCAGTGTGGACACTGCTTTTTTCTGCTCTCTGTTTGTGCTTTTTCGTTGCTTTATTTGCTTTCCTTGTTGCTCACTCCTCTTGTGTGTGTGTTGTGGCCTTTTTGCCTGGCGTTGTGTGGAATGCAGCCACTTCAAGATGCACCTCCTAACGGATGTCATGACGTGGATCGAAACCAGCAATCCTCACCTGGTCGTCTCAAGGTAGAGCAGGCTCGCGTTTGATCCTGATGTTTCTCACTTCTTCTGCTAGTTTCTTGTATTTTCTTCACACTCTCTACTACCTATCCTGTTCTCGGTACTGGCTGGTGTCCCAACACCTGGGAATTCGGTAACCTGTTGTGCTGGATGCAGACTTCCTGCTGCACATTCTGCCAGTTCATATTGTACATAGTCGACTTGATTGATGTCATGCTTTGTTTGGCGCGACAACTGCACTTTGTATTGTGTTGTCTTTTCTCGTGTTACTCATATTCTTTATTTCTACTTCAAGTACAGTTTACCCTGTTGTCATTTTGAGAATTATACTCTTTTAGATCCATTTTTTATTCGGGTCAGGCGCCTACTGCCCCAAATGGTTAGTTCTTTCATCTGGTACCCTGTTTCCCTGTACCGTTTTTTACCGTATGTTTCGTCAGTTTAACTTCTAGCATGCACGCTGGGCCTCTGCCTCTCTTAGCTGCTGATGCAGCAATGGACGTGTTCCACTCTTTCTGACCCAGCGGACCTACTGCCTGCCAGGGCGCCTGCTCATTTCAGTGCTTTCTCTTATGTAAATGCCTTCTTCAATGACCGCAGATGTGCTACATTTTGTAAAAAATTTCATGATTGTACTCTACAGTCAGTGCACTGCAGCTAGCTGTTATACACCGACGTGCTCTGAGAGCCTCCACGTCAGCATGTGCACTCTGGCTGCCCGCCGCTCGCCTGGTTGTGTGGGCATTGTGGAGCTTTTCACACACCAGGCTGCCGTCGCCTGTTCTGGTAACCATGTTGTCCGGGGAGGGTTGATGTAACTGCCATGCGACAGAACTCACAGAAGGGATTGATGGTGCGATGTGGTAGAACTCTGCTATGTCGTACTCGGTCCGAGCCCCCCCCCCCCGGTCGCAGGCAGGGAATCGTACTAACCCGGTTTGTACCGGATTCCCTGGTCGCAGGTCCTTTTTGGTCCTTTTTTGGCACAACTACTTTACTTCCTGGGTTTTCAACTTTTGTCCCAAGAGTATAAGAGTGGCGCAAGGACCATGATTACGTGCTATCGGCTTCTGCCTCGCACTCCACTAGCACTGAGTACACTGTACTCGATCGTACTGTCCTCACGGTATGAATAAATTCAGGGGCGTCGGACACCATGGACACGCTACGGTCACTACGGTATTGACCGTACAACATTTTGCCCCCAGGCCAGGTACCCCACGAATCAAACAAAAGCCCTGATTTTAATAGACTCTAAATTTCGAAAAATTTCTGCAGACTCGCCACCCCTCCCACATGTACCCAAACCAAAAAAATTAATGGTCAGTCCTGATTTTGATGATGGGGGACTGCAAGTGCAGCACATACTGTGACATAGTCATTACATGCACAGACTCACGCCATGGGCATGGAGTCATCAAAATGCATCCAGTCAGGTGGCTGTGAATAGTAGTACTCGAGTGTGGCGATCGCGCGAGTGTGACCACATGTCGCTACGCGCATGCGCAAACACACAAACGTAAGGCGTGAATGACGCCATGACAACACTTGTGTAGGCTTGCGCGAGATCGATCGCTCACAACTAACTTTCGATGCAGAAAATCTCACTTTTTTCATCTTTCACACTTTTCCGTTTATGAGTTCAGTGTGTTGTGAATTCATGTTATTATCATTAGTTGTCTTGGTCGAGTAGAAGGACGAACTGTGTCTCCTTTCTCCGAAACTAACCACTAGTTTACTTCTGTGCTTCGCGTCACGTCTGAAGGTAAGAAACCCATGATGCTTTCGTGCTTTGCTTTTTTGTTTTGGTGTCGCCACTTTTATTCCAGTTTTGTGATGTACCGTACGGCTAACTAGCTGAACTTTTCAATTCAAGAACGAGTCCTATACGCTTACTTACCTCCCGTTTCTTGTCACTCAATGCCCTATTTTAGCTGCCGGTGTACCAGTTGTGTCATTCATTCCTTTGGTTTATTGTAGGGTGTTTAGTTATGCTCTTGAGATTATTTCTTTGAAATTGAAGTATGTACTAGTACCTGCATAAGCGCATGCATTGTGCGCGTAGACTACGCATTCCAACACCAAACTCCAAATTTCCCCATCGTCGACGTTAAAACGCAGAGCTAACCACGTTTTCGCATGGTTTTCGCTACCATTTAGACCTTTCTACTTTTAAAATTGAAGTGTATGTCTGACCAACGTCTACCGTCTATTGAACGTTCAACAGCATGCGGCCTTTTCTACCTTTAGTGAAAATTAATCCTGACCAGCGGCACTTGTTAAACGTACAACCTACAACGTACCTACTGGTACTAGGCGTCGTGGTCGCAGCAGGAAGATCCCTCTCTTACTTCAAATTGGCCCTGTGATACTACCATCAGAGCGGTGTACGAACGACGAGTAGCTGCAGATCGAGACGTGTTTGCTCAGCAAGGCGGTCAGGGCTCGCTCTAGCACTGCCGAATACCAGTGCTTATGCATGCAACGCCGCCGTGCTTCCCTGTACTAGCAGGTATTGCATGTTAATGCTGTGATATTCTGTTTCATTGTAGGATGCCTCGCCTGTACGTCGGCGGCCTTCCAGATGGTGTTGAGCGCGAGGAGCTCCTAGCCATATTCGAGCCTTTTGGTAAAATCGAAGATATCTGGATTGCTCGCAAGCCATCTGGCTTTGCTTTTGTTCAGTATGGAAGCCAAGAAGAGAGCAGCAGTGCAGTGAAAGCTTTGGACAGTTCAACTCAATTTAGTGGGAAAACGATGAAAGTAGAGTTTTCCAACCGTAGTGACAGGCCTTCTAGCCGCGGTGGCAATGGTGGCGGTCGCGGCGGTGGCTCCCAACGGCGTTCCTCTCCACCAAGAGGTCGGCCCCGTAGTCCTCCTCGTGGTGGTGACCGCTATCCAGCACGTTATGAAGACGATTACCGGCGTGGTCCATCTCCACCACGTGGCTATGGCGGTGGTGGTAGTGCTGGTTATCGGTCTCCGCCAAGATATAGGTCTCCACCTCGCTCTAGCTATCGCTCGCCACCACGCAGTTCTTATGGTTCAGGCAGCATGGCGGCACCCCCGCCTGCGCCTCGCTCACCTCCACGCTATGGATCACGTGCTTCACCGCCGCCGCCAATGCGCACTGCTGGTCGTAGCTCGCCGCCGCCAAGCTACAGAAGTGGTCCGCCGCCACCGCGATCGTCGTATGACAGCTATGGAAGCGGCGGCGCATACAGCGGCAACTCTTCCTCATCGGCGGCTCCCAGGTAAGGTGTACAAGTGGTGACGGGTGACTGGTGCTGTTGAGACTACTGCGAGTACTCGGCATACCGGTGGTATTAGTACTAGTCGTAGCTCTCGCCGCCCAATCTCGCCCACCGACACTGTGTATATGCACTACTGCTTCACTACTGCTTCTGCTGCGCCGCGTCTAGCCTCTGTATCTCTCGAAACTCTCTCTCTCTCCTGTCTGCCAATATGATGCCGGTGACATGGGCTAATGAACATTCCCTCGCTGCTCTGACTGCGACCGAGTATCATTTTCCCAGGTTCACCTGTTTCGACTGTGAGCAATGACGTTATGCCCAACAGGTTCTATTTCAGTTAGCGTTTCTTCTAGTTTCTTCCGCCATCGTGCGCTCTGCATCATGGCAGTGCCATGGCAGCCAGTGTGCATGTACTTCAGTAGTCACGAGTTCGGCAGCTGTGAATGGCAATCTAGTTGGTAAAATTCACCATCATCCAGCTCCTCATTCTTCTCTTCGATGGCATGCGTCTGCGCACCTCGCTTCGTTCTTGCAACTGCACGATGTGCACTGTGCCCGCCTCTGTGCTTGTGCACATGCATGAATATAACTGCAACTTCTGGTTTGTCTTCATGCCTCTGTACTGTATATCATCCAGGTGTGTTCTTTCTGCTTATTCTGTGCTCTTCTTTCTGTGCTCTTCTGCCCTTTGTGCTCGTGTGCAGGGAGTACTACGACCGAGAGCCACGGTGAGTTCTGGTGCATGTGCGCGGTATTTATTACTTGTGTTACTTGGGGGTACTGAAGTACATATAATACAGTCATGTAGTTGTGATTAGAATAACCTGTACACAAGGAGCAGCAGCAACTTCATTACTTGACACATGTTGCACACTGTGATAATACAGCCAGCACTGCAAGTACAGTAAAACCTGGTGTAAGCCACCTCTGTGTTCAGCGACCACCTGCTCTTTTTAACGACCGTTTTTCCATGCACCGACAGTTCCACACAGACACCGTGGGACCTGGCTCTAAAGACCACCTGGCTTTAATGACCGCTTTTGCTTGCACCGTGCGGTGGTCGCTTAAACCAGGTTTTACTGTACTGCTGATCCCAGCGCTGTGCCCGGTACGTAACTGACACGCCAAGCACTCTCCAGTGATGCAATTCACTTGTGTGCAGTGCATGAGCATGACACTCATATCTTTCTTATCCCCACTACTAGTACTAGTATTTCCACAAAATTGGCTAATATTATAAAACCCTTTGCGTGCTGAGTACGAGAAAAACGCGCAATATATCGCAGTGCATAGACCAGTGTACAAACTTTCGTAACTTCGTCAAACATAACCGCATCGCGACAATCAATACACCGTTGGAAAGGTCTTCACCTCATCTTTCCGGGGATATAAAGTTCTTCACGATAGGATAAGAATTCATTGAGCGGCGACAAAATGAACACGGAAATCACGGCCCAGAGTGAACACGAATATTTTTGTTCATGACTTCGTTTTGTTGAGGAGCGTGCCAGGGGATTTCCCTTTGGCACGGCGCGTGCGTGATGGACATCAAATGAAGTGCTTGGATCTGAGCTTTGCAGCGCAGTTTGAATTGTGAAAATCTGTTGAATTTGGGCAAGAAGCCGAACAAGAATGTGAAATTAAGTTGTTGTGCCGTTCCGAGGCACGGTGGAGTAGTTTGGAGAGGACATGGAAGTGGCCCTGATGTGTCTATGGAGCTGAGAGCTGCCAGGATGGATTCGCTTGGTCCTGATCTTTCCAACGAGCCCAGGACGATGAAAATCCATCAAGGTGGAGTGAAATGAGAGTAAATTTCGTTCGGAGCTGTGAGTGCATACTCCACCAAGAGAGTCAGTGCGCTGGAAAGCCAGTGGATTGGAGAAAAGGGGCTCAGCATGCAAAGAGTTAAAAGACTTTTCCTGTTCGTGTCTTTCCCTCATAGTTAATATATTATGACTTGGGGCTCCCGTGCTAGTTTGTACATGAAGTGTGTGGGTTACAGTGAGGGCTGCGTCCCACCCGCCTGTGTGTATTCGCAGGAAGTGTGAGTTACGAAGTCTGAAGAAAATGTTGAACGGTCTCTGCTGGGATGACGACTACACCATAGCTCAGTGGTTAGAGCATCGCTGGCTACACGCGGGGGTCCCTGGTTTGAGTCCTGGTGGTGACAGTCAATTTTTTTCTTGAGACTTCTCCTGTGTGTGTCTTTCCCTCAAACCAGTTATTAAAAGAGTAGTAATATTTCCACTAAAACTCGCCCGCAATGTGCCCGGCAGACCAAGGTGTCTGGAACTTGGAGGTTCGGTTAAGAGAGAAGATGAGAGATGAGTGTTTCACACTCCTGTTCACGCCTATTAGATGAATGTGCAGCTGGAAGTTAGCCAGGCAGCAACCGTCATGGTAGTGCAAAACTTACTAGTAGATGTTACTTGGGCCTGACGATATCATAGCCTAACGCTGTGTTCATAGCTGCATATACATGTACGCACGAAACTACACGTCTGTGCGTACTCTGCTACCTTTAGGGGGTGTCATGCGTATAGAAACACACTGAAGTGGAAATTCCGTGTTGTAGTTTTCAGCGTACATGTACAGTAAATTAATACTGCTTATAACGTGCCAATTAATTGGTTTTCGATAATTTATCACTATAGCCGATTTGCATGTACCGTATGTCCGCACCTTTAAAGCCATGGCGGTATATTCGATTATAAAGCCAGTCTCAGTTATAAAGCCATGGGCTTCATAAATGCGACGGACCCCACGATAGGCGGTCAGCCTTTGGGTCATCCTAATAAAGTTATTATTATTATTATTATAAATGAAATGAGATTTGAAGTATGTTTTGTAAAAATGAAGGAATAAGTATTATACTAACAATCTTACAGCCCAGCAACAAGTGGATTTAGATTGAATTTTCTGTGTGGACTTTAACTTTTATGACATGGCATAGTGGGTGAGTCATTTTGCATCTAAAATAGCTAGGGAAGCAGCGGTGTTTCGAATATAACGACATGGCTTTAAAATTAAAGGCGCTGACATACGGTATGACTGACACATGGCACATGACTGCGCATGAAAAGATGCAGCCCATTCATAAAAAGATGGGCTCTGGCGAGCTCCCGTATTTGGCGATTTTTTTGTCTTTACTGCGTAGGCAACATAATTATTGTGAACCTGAACATGTGCTGCTTGTGCCAGCACGCAAACATTTCTGGAGCCGCTAGGCGTATTACCAATGTGTTCAGAAGACCGATTCATACTTAATTTCGTGTACGGAAACACACTGCGTCGCGCCTGGGGCGGTGCAGATTTTTGGTTACATTTTTCGAGTTTATTGGCAAGATGGAGACGATTTTTTCACGGACCTTTTTATTATAATTATCAAGTTCTGTCCAAAGGTGGAAATGAAACTACTTCAGTAAAGGAAGTTAGAGAGGGTATTCTCCAGAGATTCACAACACAAACAATAGAGGGGTTCTGCGAAACGAAAATGCGTGCGAAGTTTCGCGGCGGGTCTTCCGAAAGTTTGGGCGAATTTTCACACCAATTTTGTGTTCTGCACGTTTCGTAGTTTGCTCGCCGATCACGTGCACATGGTGAACCCGTTGACCACTTTCGCCCTTGGAACTTGCCATACTTCTCACGAAGTTTCTCACCTCATGAAGTAGAGCGATATTTTGTACGCATTTCCTTTTTGCAGAAACTCTCTAATATTAACTTGATGATTCAAAATAAAGTATAAATCAGGCTTGAAAGGGGTGGTGGTGTGCCCCACGTCTTTCCTGCTTCCACCGTGGCCACCACACTATGTATGGTGCCAATTGCATACAAACAGTAGGTGACACTGGTGTCCGAGTGGTTAGTGATGCTGCTGCCATTCTCATCCTTCTTCTCTTCTGCTTTTCTCCGTGCAGTGGAGGGCCTCCCCCTAGTTACAGCCGCTCCCGATCTCCACCACGCTCGTACTATTAGATCAAGCAGACAGCGCTTCTATCGTCAGTATCAATTTGTTTACAAAATTTGAAAATCATTTCATAAAAAGGATCGGTCAATCTGCATGCTTGTAAATATAGAAATCTTGTTTAGGCCCTAGTACCAGTGAATCTGTTGTTGTTCTTTTCACCCTTGTTCAAATCACGAGTCACAACACACTGTCATAGACTATGACAGTTTGGCTGTTTCAGCTTAATAGTATTGCCACCGCGAATACTGATGTAACACTGCCTAGCGTGTGTGTGTGTGTCCATGCATTATTGAAATCGTTATTATTCATATTTGTTTGCACTAAGAGTTTATCTCATGCATTTTTTGAATGGATCTATTTCTGTTTCTTTGTCACTCGTCTCTTTCCCATCTTGGGTACCAGCTTCAAATCCTCCTCTTGTGTGGCTGCAAGGCCGCGTGCCACGGTGCCCGGTGACGGTGTTCCTGCTGCGGCGGCGGTGGTGGGTGTGCGTGGTGCTTCCTGTAGTGGCGGTTGTGTTTGCTGCTGCTCCTGTATGGTGGACTGCTGCTGCTGCTGCTGCTGTTGTTGGTGGCCAGTCTGCGCTGAACGGCCATCTGACATTGCTCGCTTCCTGATGGCCATGCGCCCTTGCACAGCACCTGTTGTTGTTGTTGGCAGCGACTGTGTTTCCTGGCCGGCAGGAATGTGCTGCTGGAAAAGTAATAGAAATAAGGTGACACAATCAAAGAACGCTGAAGCCTTTGGCTGGAAGGAATGTGCTTCTGGAAAAGTATTAGAAATAAGGGACAAAAATTCGAATGATTACTTTATAGCCTGGCTGTGAACTTCACACCTGAAATGATTGGTCAACCGGCCTCAGCCAATCAGAGTTCAGCAAGTGTTCCTGGAATGATTACTTTTATAGTCTGGCTGTGAACTTCACACCTGAAACATACTTGCCAACCCTACCGGAATTTCCGGGAAAATCAAGGAAAACTCGCTTTCCTCCCGGTGTAACGGAAAAGTTATATTCATCTACCGGATTTTCGAAAAATGTCCGTCAACACCTTTTTTGTTGATTTTCAGTGTTTTGGACGCTCACTCGTGCGGTGCTGGGCTAAAACGAAGGTATAGCAAGCGAGAACTATTGAGTTAGCGTATGAAAAAGTACTTTTTTTGTCGTACATGCTGTACTATTTTGCGAATGTTTTGTGGTCATTGTGGTATCACTATGATACACAGCATTTTGCACAATTATTAGAGAGGTTCCGCATAACGTAATTACGTTAGTAAAATACGTAGTCGATCTACGGAAAGTCTTACGTAAACTGCATGCGGATCTGGGTTCCGCCATACGGAGTTTTCAAATCACGTAGCTGCCCTTGGCAACTCCAAACGCGGCAGTGCACGACCAGATCGACCTGGGGAGAGAGTCATACATTTGTACCCAATCCATTAACGGACCAGCTACGTTATCAGAGCCCTATCTACGTACTCTCCGTGGACAACTTTGCGTAAGTGGAGTGCAAACTCGCGAATTCACGGGTTTTTCCCGCCCACTAACGTAAAGTTGCTGAACTTTACGTAGTGCGGAACCTCTCTATTAGGCCACCCTTTGTTAATTCATTGTTTAACCCTAGGACGGCCACCACTTTCAGTACTCCTAGAACGGCCAAACGGTGTCATTTGACACCTGCATACATTTCCATGTCTAAGACCTATAATATAGGTTATTTTAGTTGTTGTTTTCAGTGCTGGCTATCACTAGCGGCATTTATGATGTACACAACACTTTGGGATTCACCCAGACACTATTGTTGGCTATACGCAACTAAAATTCTATGTACGCGTAACGGCAATTGCGAAGGATGAACTCAATTGCTGGCAAAACTTCATTTACTTGCATAGGAATGTCTTATAATCACAGAGTTACAATAACAAGCAATGTGTCAACGTCACTGGGCACATGAGGAACTGCTTTTCGGGAATATGTGCTTTGGCATAATCGGATTACTCGACCGTCACGATGAATGACACACAGTAACAAGTACAAACATGGACTGACTATGAGCATCATTTTTTCACCAAGCTGACACGTATGCTGCTAGACATGGTTTCAAGATTAGGCTAGTAAAGACTGCATTTTAGACTCTTTCAAAGAGGTATACCCTTCTCTTCTCCTTGGCTGGCACATAGCAACCAGATGCCATGACTATCTACAACCTTATTGACCAGTGCAGGAATGACCGTTTTCTGGATGTGCATGAACTAGCAAAGGTCTGGGACACTGTGAAGGCGTTGATGCCTGTCACATCTATTCATTTATGTAACCGCCTTGCAGGGGATATCTTCTGGAATAGTCTTTGCTGAGTAGATCCACCACATTCGATCGAAACGGTAAAGGACATATCTCGTATTTTGCTAGAATTGGATGATGTGAGGCTTCCTACTCTCACCATGTAAAACATATGGCTCTAGATGGTCTATACTAGGCGGACCATTGTTAATTCTTGCTACTTCTACCTTCTACGTCTACCGTCTTTGTATCCTACAATGTAATCTTGAAAAACAAAATGCAATCCGCGATTATGGGCAATGAAGTTAGATGGTAGTTCACTTCAATTTACCAAAGTGGTTTATACTGCAACTCTTCCTTCTCCAACAGTTTCTTGACCAGTAATGCACTGATGATGAAGTTATCAGTTATTACTTAGCAATCACCTTCTGCAGCACCCGGGGCCACTAAAGAGAGAGAAGGCATCCCAGCGGCTGCCTACCTGTTTAGCCTGAAGCGGGGGAGGAAGAGGTTTGCTTCAAGAGCCTTATTAGCTCGTCAAGTAGTTAGAAAGGATTATCTACACAGCACCATCCTTGCGATAATGCGGTGTACCATCTCCAGGTTACAGAGTTGCGATTCTTCTTCCTCAACACTATCCATTTCGGGGTCTCCACCACTCCTGCAACTGTTTCTGACAATTCCTTGTCTGGACTATCCAGCAATCCTCGTCCGCTCTCTTGATGCTCGTAAACCTCAATACATTCTGAATCCACAGGTACTCAGGTGTTGTGACCGTGCGATTCGCCCTCATATTACAGAACAGATCCACCACTGCCAATGGTCACTACACTTGAACAGCCATAAAATGAAGATAAAGTGGGCAATTTCGCTTTCATGGTCATCAGATTCATGCATGGTAATAGGCTACATCCGTTCTAGTACTTCCTTGGCCGTCAGACCGCCAAGGCGCTGGGGCAATTTACCGGAAAATGAAAGGGATTGAGCAGTATCAAGGACATTAGCTGAAGAGTGTTTGTGTAATCTGTGCACTAATGGTTGTCCGCCCCAAATTCGCGATTCTCGCCCGACGGTTGTATGTTGATCATATATTTTGTCCTGTATTCAGCGATTTTCCTGCCCATGCACCTTTCTTTTGTCTGGTTGGCATACGAGCAACTCGATATGGCCGACACCTTCGAAATGTGTTCATATTGTTTCCATCTAGCTGCAATATTGGCTTTTTTAGTGCAGGTGTCAAATGACACTGGTTGGCCGTTCTAGGTATACGTACTCGCCATTATAGTACCTCATCAATTACAAATCAAAGGTTTATGGCAGACGAAAGAGGAAGCAAAATTAGGAATAGTCACAAGATTTGAGCTTATTCTGATTAGCCATTTTTCGGTAATTCCAAAAGTTTGACTCGCGCGGTGTCAAATGACACCGTTGGCTGTTCTAGGGTTAACGTCCTTTTTTTCGCGAAAAGGTACGCGGGAGGGCAGAAAAAAAACAAAAGCCCATTCCAAAAACTGGAAACCCCAATCAAACATTTTGACCAGTAAAGCATGTGATATATACAATATTTCTGGGTCTAACGGCACTTGCAGGCATAGAACAACACTCTTTGATGGTACATTGGAGCACATGCCTCATGAATCCAACAAAACAGGTACATAGCATGGAGTTAGCATGTCATGAATTCATTACCGTACTGGCAATATATGTTGCCGCGTAACGCGTAACGCAGGGGGGTTGCGGCGTAACGCGCGACCAGGCTAGTGCGACAAATTTTCGTGAGTTCGTAACGCGCGTCCGGCGGGGTGCGGCGATCTTTTCATTGCAGTTTGCAAAAAATGATGCGGCAATAGCAAAAAAATGATGCGGCAATAGCAAAAAAATGATGCGGCAATAGCAAAAAAGTGATGCGGCAATAGCAAAAAAAGGACTGCGGCAATATAGAAACCTGTGTAACGGCTCCTGTGCGACTTAGCATGTAACGCCCTGCGTGCGGCAAACATGTGCCAATGTAACGCTTCATGGCCTCCCTGCGGCAACATATATTGCCAGTACGGTACATCTGGATTTTTACTAGGGGTGCGTTTGGTTGGTACGATCTAGAACAGGATCGAACAGCTGGTGCACATGGAGCAGCCTCATGCCAACCAAACGGTACTCCAGAAACAGAGCACATTTTCGTGGAAAAATGTGTGAAACTTGAAAATGTGTATGGGTCACCATGGTCACTTTGTACGGTACAACGAGTCCAACCCAAAAGCGTATGCACGTGATCATTTGGGACCAAAATCGATGTTCCCGCCAGGTTTCACTGTGAAAAAGTGAAACTGCTCGGTCTGCTCCGGCCTCGAGGCCGGAGCAAGCAGAACATGTTCTGGCCGACCCAGAACAGGTGCAGTCCCAACCAAACGCGCTGTTCTGGTGAATCCTGTTCTAGTTCGTACCAACCAAACGCGCCCTAGGACACACACCGTACGATATTTAAAAGCCAACAAAAAAAGAAAAAGAACACAAGACAAAGGCATGCCCGGGAGGCAAGATTATAAGTTTAAGGTCATGATCGGCACACTGTGAAACTACACAATCATGTATTTACAACTTCGCATATTATTGGAACTACTACTTTCTTGTTTTTTTTTCCGGTCGGAGGCAAAAAGGTACGCGGGCGCGGACGTTAAACAACGAAAAAAGAAAGGGTGGCCTTATGATGTAAAAATTGCAAATCAAGGAAAAATGGGCAAAATCAAGGAAACGCATCATCACTGTCAAGGAAACTGTTTGCCAGGGGTTGGCAAGTATGCTGAAAGGATTGGTCAACCGGCCTCAGCCAATCAGAGTTCAGCAAGTGTTTATCTTCTTGGCTTGCTGATGGCTGTTGCTTCTGCATGAGGAAGGAGAAAGAAGCCGGGAAATCTACCGGAGAAGAAAATCTAAAACTGTCGTTTCTTCAGGAAGGGGTGCAGCTATCAGCAAGCCGGCGAAGAACTTCTACAATTCTGCCTGAGCTCCTGTTGTTTCTGCATGAAGAAGGAGAAAGAAGCCGGAAAATCTACCGAAGAAAATTCTCAAATTCAACGCTGAAGCATATGTTTGTAAAGAATGAAGGCGACAGCAGGTAAAATGGTGGTAAAATACGCCAGACAAAATTTAGGGTATTATATAAGCGTCACGTCTGCCAAGTGCAGCCCAAAAGCGTATGCATGTGATCATTTTGGACCAAAATCGATGTTCCTGCCGGGTTTCCCTTTGAAAAAGCAAGGCTGCTCGAGACGAGGCCAGACCACTGTCCCCACAGGATTCCGCGGACGCGCAATTTTCCGCGTTATTGGCTTTCATCCGCGTTTTCGGGAAAGTCTGCATACCGTATGTCAGCGCCTTTAAAGCCATGGCCTTATATTCGAAACACCGCTGCTTTCCTAGATATTTTAGATGCAACATGACTCACCCACTACGCCATGCCATAAAAGTCAACGTCCACACAGAATTTTCAATCTACCTGTTCACCCTTCCTGCTGGGCTGTAAGTTTGTTAGCACAGTACTTATTCCTTCATTTTTACAAAACATACTTCAAATGTCATTTCATTTATGAAGCCCATGGCTTTATAACTGAGAGTGGCTTTATAATCGAATATACCGCCATGCCTTTAAAGGTGCGGACATACGGTAAACCCCTCGTTATCCGTGGGAATGTACAAGAAAACAGTACATGATGTTGAAAATGTACTACAACTAGCCTAGCCCCCCCCCCCCCCGTGTAATATGCCGGCATTTTTTGAGCATTTTCTGTACAATCCGCGAACCCAGCACTTTGGGCTCGTGATGCAGCATTTTGGGGGAAACGGAGCACTTGGCCGTTGTGTATCAAAATTGAGAGAAGAAAAACTTCCCAAACGAGAACGTCACTTCCGCATTCCGTGGGTTAGCTTCTTGTTGAGTAGTTTATGAATTGTTTACCATGGCAGACTCGAGCAAGTCTCTTATTGAGTGTGTTTCAGGATGACAGTGATGATGATGAAAGTACTGTAGAGAGCGATTCTTGCCATGGCATTTCGAAAATATGGTTTTGACCAGGGAGTCGTAAAATACCGGTATTTTCTGACTCCCTGGTTTTGACGACGTGTGCTGAGGATTACAAAAAAGTGAGCATTTTCGGCAAGGTTTACGAGAATTTCCCAAAAGCATTTTCGGCAAAGTTTCGGGCATATTACGCCAGGCCCTAACTACAACGTGACGTCATGCTCGCCCAGGACTTTGTACGACAAAGGTGTACTCTGTACGCTAAATGTGTACCGATGCCAGACAACTCGTGCATAATGACCGCATATTCGCCGCATAATCCCGCATAATGGTCTGTTTTCGCCCGCATAATAATGCACGTAATTTAGGATTTTGTCATGGGGGAGGCCTGGCACGAGCGAAACTTCCTAAGCTGGTTGTGTTTTTCTGCACAGTTGTATAGCCGGTGGTAATGCGGACACACACTTGAACTAATTTTTTTACTAAAATTCGACTGAAAGCTGTTGATCAAACACACATAATGCACATATTAAACGTTGCCTAAAAAACCCTCAACACCAACAGAGCAAGTAGCAGCACAACATACCTGAGTGGGAATGGTAGGCATGGACTGTTGTCGAACATTAGCAGGGTGCCCGCTTGCACCACCCTGCACACAGGCGACACATGATTGTGGATGTGAGCAACAAACCGTGTGCAGGCACACACACACACACACACACACCTTGACCTTTGACGCCCATCGCCGGAGGCGATGATAGCAATGCTACGGCAGAAGCCATAGCAACTTGTGCCGGGATTGCACCATTCAACAGCTTGCAAGGCTGAAGAATTGACCGTCACTATTCAGCCTGGTCTACACCATACAGCTATTTGAAGTGGTTTTTCTGGCCAGTGAATCCCTATTTTTGGTCTTTTCATTTTCATTTTTTTCTTTTTCCCGCACACACATCACACCACATACTCCGGCATGCACTGGCTGTTGGTAACCACCCAGGAGAATGAAAGAAAAGTCAGGAAGAGTCTGAGAAAGAGAAGAAAGACGTGTGACCATAATCGTCGGGAATCGAACCCGCAACCTATCGATTGGAAATCGCTGCACATACCACTGCACCATATGGGACACACACACACACACACAAAACCAGAGAGAATAAATGATCCACATAAAAATAACCAAATGGCGGCGTGCATAGCGCTTGCGACAATCAAGGGTATGGTCAGATCGAGACACCAGAACAAAAGCGACACTGTATAGCAAGTTCCTTTCGTACAATTTAAAGGGGAAGTATACCCTAAAATCAAATTTTCACCAGTTGTAGTCTTCTGGGTGCCGAGTCGAATGGTCTTGGGCCGAGGAAGCTGCGACGCTCCCTTCCTACTTGAATCCCAATCGAACTCGCGCACTTCCACCGAAACTGGGTGACTGCGCCCTACTAGATGGGGATTTGTATGCAAAATGTCACTAAAAGCGCCATTTCGTTCTTATAAAAGCACGGATGACCGCGATTGGCCCATATGTTGTAGTCTTTTGGACGCTGAGTCGACTGGTTTTGGTCCGAAAAGGCTGTGATGCAGCGTTCCTCCTTTATTCCCAATCGAACATGGTTGAACAAGCGGTCACGTGCTCCTGGGTGCCCAAATCGCCTGGTCACCGCGCCAGCAGGCGACAACTTTCACACCAAGGTTCAACTCGAGTTCTACTCAAGTGACAGGACTGCACCCAAAAAAGGTCAAACAGGCTAGTAAGTTGTACCCTGCAGGCACGGTGACCAGGTGACTGGTGTACGCAGGAGCACGTGACCGCTTGTTCAACCATGTTCGATTGGGAATAAAGGAGGAACGCTGCATCGCAGCCTTTTCGGACCAAAACCAGTCGACTCAGCGTCCAAAAGACTACAACATATGGGCCAATCGCGGTCATCCGTGCTTTTATAAGAACGAAATGGCGCTTTTAGTGACATTTTGCATACAAATCCCCATCTAGTAGGGCGCAGTCACCCAGTTTCGGTGGAAGTGCGCGAGTTCGATTGGGATTCAAGTAGGAAGGGAGCGTCTCAGCTTCCTCGGACCAAGACCATTCGACTCAGCACCCCGAAGACTACAACTGGTGAAAATTTGATTTTAGGGTATACTTCCCCTTTAATATAATTCGTAACCAGTGTATTGAAATGATTTTCGTACATGTACTTGTACAACAGTTCCATTTTACGCAGTACCGGCCTGTGCACATCAGGCTCTGGAAAGTGAAAACCCAGCCAGTCAAATGACCACGCAGGTCAGCTGAAGGGGATCCATGTAGCTGGTAAGCCGCGGATGATCAAATAATGCCATGGTGCAGCTCACAATGCCAACATATGGTAGAGCCGTGCACCCAAGAACATCAGACCAGCGATAAGTTATTCTCATCTGGTCTGGTGATTGTGAGCATTGTGTAGTTGCACAGGTGAGGGTTCGTGTTGCTTGACATCAAGATGACAAGAAGATCATGAGAAAGAACAGGTGCAAATGGCACGGCTAGAAAGTACCATTGGTCTGCCTCCTGTGACAGTTTTTCTACTTTCAAGGTGGCTACATGTGAAGAGTTTAGAAGCAAACGCGACATACTGTAAAACATGTATATATAACGAGGAAGTAAATCGAACGTTTTAACGGATGACATTTCTTCGTTATAATAAGATCCATCGAGGCCGTACTGCTTCATATATGTTGTGTGGGGATATTCCGGAATACTGCAAGATCGTTAACATATCTTCTCGTTAACCTATGAATTTTGGACAATCGTTAAATTTGCGACTCGTTATAATAACATGTCTTACAGTATCACTTTTCGAATAATAACCAAAAAAGGATTCATTTTATGTGCAGTTTGTGTCTAAATCCATGTTTTGCCACCATTTATAAAGTGGGTCTACAAAGTCAGATTTTCAATGTGAAATTTGAAGGTGCATCTCGACCTATTGATAACATTGAGCTAGGCCCCGGCGGATAATGCTCGAGAATTTGATGGATTCTGCTTTTAAATATGCTCGCCGATGATTCTGCTCAAAAATAGCACTGAGAATGTTTGAATTCTGCTTCGGAAAAATGGAAATAGTGGTAGGGATTACTAATGTTGCAGAGTGAGAACAGCATACATGTATTTTGCAGCATGTTATAAAGTCATGTTCTACGAAACTGAAATATGCAAGAAGCACAGAATTATTATTACTCAGCACGCAAAGGTGCGGTAGTAGTCGTGAATTCTCACGAAAATCCCATACTAAAATAAGATGCTAGTTTTCGCAAGAATATGCTAGTTCTCTGCAAAACTTGCCGGATTATGCTAGCGCAGTGCTAGTTTCCAGAAAGTGCTAAATATGCTAGATATAATGCTAACAGTATCCGCCGAGGCCTACACTGAGCTCAAAATTTCAATTCCTCAAATTTGGCGCTTGTCGCGTTTTGCATCAAAACTCTTCATGCATACAGCATATACATCAAGCTGATACGTGCACTGCTGTAAGGAATACAGTCATGCCCTATTGTACTCGGTACTACAATTGATGGCCTTGATCTAATTGTCAGTCCCTGCTGCTGTGAAAGCCAGCTAGGAGGCGGCACAACGTGTCGGATCAAACAGACTTTGTCTCTGTACCAGGCACTTTCAGCTCGAGTTCCTACGGCAAAGGTGCTTCGATTGGGGGTTGAACTTTTTTTTCCGTATGTGAAAGTGCTTATTTCTAAAACTCTTGTCACAGCCAGCCTGTGTAATCCACAATTTTTTTCATCGATGGATTCTTTTTATGTTGTTCAAGTGCAATACAGTCATGCCAAATAAACTTCATCAAAAACAGATCTCTAGTACAACGGTGATTCCTGAAGAGTGTTGTACGAAAACTTGTTCGAATCATCTTTTTTCCATCGCTTTTTCTTGTTGCGATATTAAAATTGTTGTCTCCTCGTCGAATATTTAAAAAAAGATATGATAACTGTTACATGGTATTATGCTGTCCTGAGCCACATGCATATGTGAGGTATGTGCTATGCCCGGTTCCAAAGCGCCCGGGCAAGACATCCGAGTGTATAGCTATTATTATGCAGACACAGACAGGACACCAGCAGTGAATGACTGACCACTCTTGCACAACACACTACACACTACAGTGATGGCTACTGACCTGAGCAGTTTGTGGCGGGCCTGGATTCGGCAAAGCGACATGAGTGGCAGAGCCAGGAGTAACTGGCTGCTGCTGTTGCAGCTGTGGCAAGGTAATGGCAGAGTGACATGGCAGAGACAGACAGACAGACACCCACCCACACACACACACACGGACGGCCATCAAACAAACACAAAAAGAATCAGTCTATCCACAAAGCAAGAGACCGTATAAGGCTGGCATGTATTCACTGCTAACTTCTGAACAATCACGCTTCTAACTAGGCATACAGCGCAGCTGCTAGAGACACATATTCTGAGACTACACGAGACAAGGGAATAGACTAAAGACGTAAGACGTGGCTAGCTAATCTCCACATAACCCAGACTACAACAGGGTTGGGGCAAAATTTTAAAAAGGTAAAACAATTTCCAACTCTTTGCACTAGCTAGGTAAGGTAACTGCAGTATTGATTCACCAGACATACACACAGACATCAGCTCTATCAGGGTAACAGGAAATAAGGAAATGCTCAAAAATATTGAAAAAGACACCTCCCAGCTAGGACAATGTGCTACAGAATACACGAGACAAGGGTATAGACTAAAGAGGTAAAAAGACGTGGCTAGCTTATCTCCTGGGACTCCATATAACCCAGACTACAACAGGGTTGGGGCAAAATTATACAAGGTAACAAAATTTCCATCTCTTTGCACTAGCTGGGTAGTGTAACTACAGTATTGACCCACCAGACATAAACACAGACATCAGCTCTATCAGGGCAATAGGAAATAAGGAAATGCCGAAAAGTATAGAAAAAGACACCTCCCCAGCTAGGACAGTGTGCTACAATACACTGCTTCGACTAGTAAGCGTGCTAAGCTACACTGCTTCCAACCTCTCCTTCACCAACACTGTGGCAAGGGCAAGGAGTTAGACTCAGGGGCTGCTACACAAAAGGATCGGGCCTGGCCGAACGGCACTGCTCAACTAGTCAACATGGCACGGGCATACTAGTGCACATGTTACAACAGCAAGACTATAACAGCAGGGTGGGTACTGGCGTGTGGTACCAGTATAGTCGCCACCGCATAGAAACCACATGGGTCGCGGCCAGGAGATACTACCTGTCCGTGGGCAAATCAAGCGATGGTCACTACATGTTGTATAGGGGAACCCAATCACTGGTCCGTACATGTACAAGGTAAACCGAGCTACGGCCAGTCACTACAGGCGGCACAGTGGGGGGATGGGGCTGCCCGAATACCACACAGACCACCACTTGGTACTATTATGTGCGAGGGAGACTCTAGCGGCGTGCATGCTCACGTACAGCTGCAGCTGACGCTGCCCGACTCTGCAACGCATGGCGATACTGAAGAACCTCGGCTTGCTGCATGCGCCTGGCCAATTCCTGCAAATCAAGCATACACAATGTATCGTAATCATGACACACACACACACACACACGCGCGCGCGCACACACACACAGGTAAAATTTCAATGCAACTGCAGCACGCGTACACTTGAAATGGCTCTCAACTTGGCTGTAGCGCCCACTGCATAAGAATGAAGCCTTGCCTTCTGGCACACTACACTATCCAGTGAAGTGACAAAATCTAATGTAAACGTTGCCGTATTTCATACATTTACTATCCAGCACCAACTTGGTCTAATAGGTGATAGAACAAGAGGGGGCAAGAAAAGTCACCCCCAATCCTCGCACTGAAGAAAAGTCACCCCGGGCCCCCATCCTCGCACTGAAGAAAAGTCACCCCCGGGCCCCCATCCTCGCACTGAAGAAAAGTCACCCCCGGGGCCCCCATCCTCGCACTGAAGAAAAGTCACCCCCCGGGGCCCCCATCCTCGCACTGAAGAAAAGTCACCCCCGGGCCCCCATCCTCGCACTGAAGAAAAGTCACCCCCGGGCCCCCATCCTCGCACTGAAGTCAGATACATTGCACCAAAAGGAGTATATAAGCACGTGATGGCACTAAGTCCCACCAAAGCATGAAACTGAAGAAGCACACCCACCAAAAACTGCAAAATCCACACACTGCAACTACCCCCCCCCCCCCACCCCCCGCTTGCTGACTCCCGAAATACTGTACATAAATGCACAGTAGTGCATGCTGTGGTGTTAAGACCTGATGAGGATCACACTGTTCAATACCATAATCAAACCTGCTCAGAAACGAGCAGTTTCTGTACATGGCACATACTGGTGATAAATACACGCCATAGGCCACAAATCGCACATACACACACATGTACGTCAAGTAGATGGGAATGCGAATGATATAACATACCTCGTCAGGCACGTCTGCAGCACTTGCGGACTTTGCCAACGGTGCGCCCTGGGACTGCTGTGGCTGCTGGCGCTGCCTTTCCCGTTCATCCAGCTGACGCTTCTCCTCCTCCAGTAAGCGCCGTGTCTTGAGTTCTCCTTCGAGGCGTTGCCTCTCCAGTTCTTGCAACTGTCTCTGCTCCCCTTCCAGTAACTGCTGTGTTTTCTGAGCTTCCAACTGGCGTTGCTGCTCCATCTTTTGCATCCGGAGCTCGACCTTCCGCTTCTCCTTTAGCTGCATATATGCAGCATACTCCTGTGGAGAAGGGCAGAGCAGGTAGAGATCATTGCTATCAATGCTGCAGCTGTAATGGTATGGCTGTACTAACAATGCTGGCAGATTGGCAGATATAGCAGAGCAGAGCATTCAACTTCACTGTGCATCACTGGCACGGAACAAGTGAATTAAAGTGTCTGCAGCTATCCTAAAGCACGCACCAAGAGTCTCAAGATCCACAGAGCAGGCAGCACCCGAGACCCCCCCCCCCCCCCCCCCCCCCCCGACCGTTACAATCTCTTTTGGCACACGGCAGTATCTACTGATGCAACCCCCATGCTGAAGTGAAGCAAGCATGAACACAGCATATGTAGAGGGCAGTGATAGCAATAGCAAGCGAATATTTTAGCTCTAGTCTCACCGCATCCTGCATCTCCCGTGCTATGCGTTCATCTTCTGTCTCCTTACTCTGCAGGACACACAAATACAAATAGCACAATACTATAAATTACTTATACATGCTTGATTATCATGTACACGAAAGTCAGCAGCACGCTCCTTCCTCCGAGTACCGGTAAGCTTGACTGCACACATTAAAGCAGGGCAATGCATATGGTTGCCACTGGAGAATTAGGTGATGTTTACCAATGGCCTTGACGGTGCCAGAAACCTAGATGGTAACTCTCAAACACTACTCTCCAGCTTGGTCTACAATTTCAAAACTACTGAAAAACACCCACGGGAAACGCAGAGAGAGAAAGAGGGACACTCCAGTATACAATACAGTTAGAAGCAAAGCAATGGTTTTCTTTGAAGCAAAGCAATGGTTTTCTTTGAAACAAAGCAATGGTTTTCTTTGAAGCAAAGCAATGGTTTTCTTTGAAACAAAGCAATGGTTTTCTTTGAAGCAAAGCAATGGTTTTCTTTGAAACAAAGCAATGGTTTTCTTTGAAACAAAGCAATGGTTTTCTTTGAAACAAAGCAATGGTTTTCTTTGAAACAAAGCAATGGTTTTCTTTGAAACAAAGCAATGGTTTTCTTTGAAACAAAGCAATGGTTTTCTTTGAAACAAAGCAATGGTTTTCTTTGAAGCAACGCAGAAAACACACTGCACCCTCTGCAGTATACTGTATGGTGGTGGACGTTAGTGGATGTTTGGTTCTACTGCCCAGGGAGAATGTTCTCTTTGATATGCACAGATGGATGCGTACAATTGTAGTGGAGTAAACCAACAAATTCCTTGCTGTGGTTGGCCATCACCCCTCTCTCGCATTTTGCGTGCCAATTGGTCATGGACCACGAGTTGAGTGAAATAAAAAAATAAAAAATAAACTACTCGCAAGAAAGAGCAAAAACCGACAGCAGAACCATACAAGATATAGCCAAGAGCATAGCAAGAAAAATAACTGTACCTGTACTGATTCTTGTCTGTGCAAGAGCTGCGCAAGCTCTTTGTCTTGCTCCTCTGTGGCCACTTTCTCCTGCAGAGCCAGGTCTTGTTTCGCACCTGAAACATCTAGGGAGTTGAGCTGTGAGGCAAGCTCTTCATCTTCCTTCACACTACAAACACACACATACACACACGGGCACAGACACACCCAGAGGCACATACAGAGGAATCTCTCAATCATGGTAATGTACATGTCGTGCCCCGAGTACATTTGATCATGAAGTGTGACCGTTGAGGCAAATAGATCTAGAGCGAACTTCCTGACGAGACGCCACGGCTAAATCATACATACTTCGAGTAGTACTAAAGTATCAGTGAAGACAACAGCAGCCGCAGAAACTGTCAACCATTGAAGACAACGGTCGAGCAGCCAATGGCGATGGATGGGTGAGTGTGCTTCTGGTAACTTTAGAATATTCTGCTCTTGCTCTCTCTCTCTCTCTCTCTCTCTCTCTCTCTCTCTCTCTCTCTCTCTCTCTCTCTCTCTCTCTCTCTGGCAATATTATATATACCCCCCCCCCCCCCATTTCTTTCTCTTGATTTAACCGTTATGCGATACTACCCCCCCCCCCCCCCCCCCATCTGCTCCTTTGCTCTAAACTCATTTACCGTCGTCCCCTTGTGAGTGTAAAGAGGCAAGCAATGATCTTGTGTGAACTAGTTTAGAATGCTGACTATTACTATTATTAGGATACCGGTCGGTCGCCTGGGGGTTCAAACGCCCATCACTCAGAGGAAGCATGGGCAGCCAGCAAAGCCAAAATGGAGCAGTCACCAATAAAAAAATAACTCACAGGGACACTTGATTCTTCATGCGTTGGCGAAGTTGACGATTACGTTCGCCCACCGAGGTATCTGCACAACATAATATATAATAATAGTGTGGATAGAAAGTAATTAGTTTACACATCTGACAAGTGCAATGTCCCATGTGATTAATGCAAGGTAGGTGACAGTTACTTCCCGACACAAAGCCTATGTGCCACATGAAAGGTGTGCATGGGAAGTAAGTACAGAGCATCTAAATGGCAAAGTCATGATGAGTGACCTCCACACGTTCGCATGCTGCCAATGGGTGATACAACTACTAGTTCCTTGACCTATGCTCACACACATTCCAACACCATCCTCTGGCAGTTTGAAGTAACATCGAAAATGTTCTGGTAAAAGCCGGTCTATACACACACACACACACACACACACACACACACACACACACACACACACACACACACTTGTTGCTCACTGCCAAAACTGGTCACGTGGGTCTCCCCGGGAGAGGGGAGAGAGACTCAAAAGGAATCTTGGAAAGATGACTCAATTGGCTATTGAACCGCCCAACGGCCGACACCCCCTGAAATCCCCAAAACTATGGGTGGACTTGAAAATGATCCCACTTATGGGCTCACCACACCTCAGTAAGTGGATGAGGACAAGGTGCAGAAAAAGGATTGACGGCATCAGGGTATCCGCCCCGGGATCCAACTGCAGTTACCCCTGCCTCCAGTGAAGGTAATACTTGCTACTAGTGTGGGTGGCTAAATCAGATTGGATCTGATATTAGCTTCACTAGCACCATGATTACACAAGAGTTAATCTAGCCAGAAGTAGTCCATGGTTAACAGGTATGTATACTTCAAATAGAAAGTATATGAACCCTGAAACCAACAAAGGTGGTATGTACAACATTACACCTTCAAGCAGCCGAGCCCGTTGGCAACAGACCCAACACTATCTGGCATAAGTGTACCCGCCTACCGAACTAGCTGGCACACATACATACACACACACACACACACACACACACACACACACACACACACACACACACACACACACACACCTCAGACCTGCCCATCGCAGAAGCACTGTATTCCTTGCACATGCATAAGTTCTGGCTGTGTGTGTGTGTGTGTGTGTGTGTGTGTGTGTGTGTGTGTGTGTGTGTGTGTGTGTGTGTGTGTGTGTGTGTGTGTGTGTGTGTGTGTGTGTGTGTGCGTGTGTGTGTGTGTGTGTGTGGAATACAGTCCACATCCTCAGCATACAATGTTTCCGGGAGTACTTACATTCCTCATCCTGCAAGGAGCGAGCAAGACTCTCATCACTCAATGCATAGAATTTTGGCCGAGCTGTCCACGGGAGCAAGTGAAAGCCAGATACACACGTACATACACATACACACACATACACACATGGTTACTGTACGTGGAGCAGTTACATAAATATCACACTGCAACATGGATACTAGTGGTGTGGAACTGCTACACTCGGCATGCCGGCAGTCGGGCCTAGTGAAATCCCACCCGACGTACACTGTTAGCATAGCAACTCGCTTGTGAAGTTGTGACGACCTCGTGGACCGGCACGTGTGCGAGGCTGGGTGGCTTTCTGCGCTGCAAGTGTGCGTAGGTCCAGATTTTACTCGCCTATTGAGCACTAAATTGTAAAATTCCCCCGAAGCTAAGGTCAATACAATGTACAGTGTGTGCTAGGAGCCTACTGTAGAACAACGGATTCAATGCATTACGTATGTACGGTGTACAAGGATGCGTACGCTCAGGAAATCAACACAACAAATAATTACAAAAATGTAGTAGTTTGCTGTCAATGTACAGATAAAAGCATGTCAGTGAACATGGAAAAGTCAACACTTGAGCAAAGTGTCTGGAAATTGATCAACTGACTGCAACAGTGGCAGAGTAGTGAGTAGCCAGTACCGGGGCTATCGTGGGTGAGTCCGGTGCAGCGCCAGAAAAGGCAGAAATGAGAATACTACTGTAATTCGCGCATGACCACTAATGCCCAGATGCAAGGAAGTCAAACGCCTTACCATCGGAAGGAGTAAGGTTGGATTCTTGAGAAACCTCTTCCATTACTTATGGCATTAGAGGAGTGAACTGCAAGTGACTGCTGATTATACAAAAATTATGAGTATCAGTTCATTGCCGCTACCAAGACTAAAAAGAGTACTACCTTGCTATGCCTCGTTGTTTTCACTAATAATAACGACTACAGCACATGAGCTGTGACTTGAGTGACTCCTGTCAGAGTGGACTCCGACAAACAACACTACAGTCTAGCCTACACCAACTGAAACGCACACACCAACAAGTGTTGACAAGTAGGTTCGGGATGCTCTGTCTTGGACATTGGATGTACATGTACAGACTGCTCTTTCCTTGTTGTATACATGTACGAGCTTCATGAATTCAGTAGAGTGAATTCAGTAGACACAAACTCGCGGTGCACCAATGACGAGTGATAACTGATATCGATGTTATGATCCAACTCCAAGCTTTTAAAGGGGAAGTATACCCTAAAATCAAATTTTCACCAGTTGTAGTCTTCGGGGTGCTGAGTCGAATGGTCTTGGTCCGAGGAAGCTGCGACGCTCCCTTCCTACTTGAATCCCAATCGAACTCGCGCACTTCCACCGAAACTGGGTGACTGCGCCCTACTAGATGGGGATTTGTATGCAAAATCTCACTAAAAGCGCCATTTCGTTCTTATAAAAGCACGGATGACCGCGATTGGCCCATATGTTGTAGTCTTTTGGACGCTGAGTCGACTGGTTTTGGTCCGAAAAGGCTGCGATGCAGCGTTCCTCCTTTATTCCCAATCGAACATGGTTGAACACGCGGTCACGTGCTCCTGGGTGCCCAAATCACCTGGTCACCGCGCCAGCAGGCGACAACTTTCACACCAAGGTTCAACTCGAGTTCAACTCGAGTGACAGGAGTGCACCCAAAAAAGGTCAAACAGGCTAGTAAGTTGTACCCTGCAGGCACGGTGACCAGGTGACTGGTGTACGCAGGAGCACGTGACCGCTTCTTCAACCATGTTCGATTGGGAATAAAGGAGGAACGCTACATCGCAGCCTTTTCGGACCAAAACCAGTCGACTCAGCGTCCAAAAGACTACAACATATGGGCCAATCGCGGTCATCCGTGCTTTTATAAGAACGAAATGGCGCTTTTAGTGAGATTTTGCATACAAATCCCCATCTAGTAGGGCGCAGTCACCCAGTTTCGGTGGAAGTGCGTGAGTTCGATTGGGATTCAAGTAGGAAGGGAGCGTCTCAGCTTCCTCGGACCAAGACCATTCGACTCAGCACCCCGAAGACTACAACTGGTGAAAATTTGATTTTAGGGTATACTTCCCCTTTAATAATATTTTAGATGTGCATGTGGACGTGATGTGACAGAAACAGCAGCAAAATCAGTGAAAAGCAGGGAGTCGTAAAATGGTATTTTCAAACTCTCACACTAAAATGGTATTTTACGACTACGAGCCCTAGCCCTGGGATCATGGGAGCCGGAGTGGTACATGGTGAAAAGCAGGGAGTCGTCAAGTATTTTGACGACTCCCTGGTGAAAAGTGCCAGTGCCATATTTGCTGGCGATGATGATTTTGGCAGTGCATGGTGCAGTGTATGCCATCATTGCGCCATGCAGGGCCTTTTCACGTCACGTCAGGGGCCGGACCACGTACATCGTACATGTACCAGGGAAAAAGAAGGAAAAAACGGTACGATACCTACATCATCAGGCCACATATAATATAGTACCCGGTACGCGCGCATGTACGGTCGGTACGCGGTGGGTCGCGGATCGGCAGTGTCGTACAGTTGGTTTGTACGACTCTTGACGTCTTGTACACAAGGCCCATGGTGCCATTGATTTTGATGGGAAGGGTACGCAACATTTTCGGACTCATTCTTCCAGTAAAAGGTTATCATCAACAGGTACAAAAGGATCATCGCTTTCTCAAACTCTCACACTGGTCCCTTCTTTTCGATGACCCACTGACTGTCTTGTGACTAAGTCACAGTAAGTGGTAATAGGGCGGTTAGATCGGCGTGCTGAGAAGCCGTAGGCCCGTAGCTCTTTTTTATTTTTATGATTACACATCAATTAATTTACCAGATTCTCACAATCTCAGTGCCCAGAGGTGATCTGCTGTCAGTGCTGAGCGAAAAAGGTGCCTCTACGGCTCTAGCTCTTGTGCATTTTGCTGATGAGTTCAGGGGACTACAATAATCACACTACACTTGTGGAGATGGAGAGACATATCGAGAACTAATCTTTGCTGATGCTGGCTGGGGTGAATTCAGTGAGTGGCATGAGCCAGAGCGATTGAAATAATTATGACTTCAGCTCCTGGAGTAAGTACAGTTTTGACAGTGTGTGTGTATGTGTGGTGTGTATGTGTGGTGTGTGTGTGTGTGTGTGTGTGTGTGTGTGTGTGTGCGCGTGTGTGTGTGTGGTGTGTGTGTATGTATGTATGTGGGTGCGCATGGGTACGTGTGTGTACGTGTGTATGTATGTGTGTATGTACGTGTGTGTGTGTGTGTGTGTGTGTGTGTGTGTGTGTACATGTGTGTGTATGTACAATATTACACAGCAATGAATCAAACAAGTCTCATTCCGCTGTAACTCCGAGTTTCGTGTCAGAACACTTCATCAGACAGCATATGTGTGTATGTATGTGTATGTGTGTGTGTGTACGTGTGTGTGTATGTATGTGTGTGTGTGTATGTATGTGTGTGTGTGTATGTATGTGTGTGTATGTATGTGTGTGTGTATGTATGTGTGTGTACACATGTGCGCATGTGCTTATGGGGTATTCACACGACAGGCAAATCCACGTGCACCGGAAAGTTGCTATGGTATTTTACCTGTGAACGAGAAAAGTGGCTGAAAGTGGCTGAAAAGTGCAAGCGAGCTGGGGGCCCACTTTCACGATAATCGTGGCGTGCACGAGTACATTTACACCAAAAAGAGCGAAACAAGCCTTGATTGTTTATGCGGCTCTTTAGAGCATGATAATTATTGTATGCGTGTTTTGAAAATTTGAAATACCCATGGCTACTGGTCGGTGAAGCATTCAAAAATGCAAACGTGCCTGTCGTCTAGTGCAGCTGTGTGAATCCACACAGTCACTTTTCTCGTATGTCACTCCCTGTAAAACGTGCAAGTGCCTGTCGTGTGAATACCCCATTACATGTAGGCCTCATTTACACGACAACGATTGAAAAACGTTTTTCAATCGTTTTCGAAAAGTTTTTGCTGTTTACACGAAAACGATAATCGTGTACACTGCAACGCGTTTTCGGCGTGCAATGGTCATGTGCAATAAGTTGTCCTGGCGCAGGCTGGCGGCGGCATGTTTTGAGTACAAGGCTCGCTGTAGTAAAACGTTTTTGCCGTTTACACGAGAACAAAACGGAACGAAAACGATTGAAAACCACTTTGAAGGCCGTTTTTCGTTTGAAACGTTTTGCAGCGTTGTCGTTTTAACGCTCTTATCAAAATCTGTGGAGGCGTATTCTTTTTGAAAACGTTTTTCAATCGTTGTCGTGTAAACGAGGCCTTGGTTTGTTATCATCACACTATACTAGTGCAAACACACGTGAACTACATGTACAAGTCATTGTGCTGTGGGACTGTGCACATGTGGGAGTACAGACTCAGTGGTATATACCAGTACTGTATGTGCATGTGTGTTATCCAAACATGTTGGGGCTAACCCTTGTTTGGATAAATGAGTAAACGAGCAATTAAGATTATGGAAGCATATTCTAAGAATTCGCACAGCAGCCTTCTACCAAATTTTAAGGCATGTCCCATCCTCGGGGTGAATCAAACTTTGATTTTGAAACAGTTTTATTCTTTCACATTGGGAATGGGCCATGCCCCAAATTTTGACGAGTAGAAAGACACTGGTATGTAACAGAAAAATTAAAATTACAAAAAAATTCGCGGTTCGCGTGAGACTCGGCTGGAGACCGAATTTTCCACCACCCACAAGGATCAAGGTGCAGATGCAGCTCCTAAAGCGGCGGGAGGTGAGTAGATCAGACCCACCGCCAAAGTGGTCAATGACCGAAAATCCCATTCGCTGCATCCATGCTTCCCTCGTGCCAGGCCTCGAGTTCCCAATTAACTGTGGGTCGCAGCACGGCTGGAAAAATCCTTCCGCTTCCAAGCAGGACTTGAACCTGGTACCCTCTGCTTCTCAATCATGGTCTTAGACCATCCCACTATGCAGAGAAACTATGTAATATTGGTGTTGAGGTTGAGTAGCACTGACGCCTAGTTTTGATATTCTCACCCACCTTTGTACATTTACACTGTTTTGATAGCATGTCACCGCCATCTTTACCAACTATCTAGTAACTACTTTGAAGTACTTGTTACTTTGAAGTACTGAAGTAGTAACTACACTGGTGCATGGCATCTACTGCATTACAGTATACGATAGCTGGCACAGGTAGCATAGTGTTTGCACTAGTACTACGATAGCTGGCACAGGTAGCACAGTGTTTGCACTAGTACTGCATTGACTGTACCGGTAGTCCTCACCACAACACACACACACTGTGGCTCGACGTATCGTAGTCAAGTCGGGTTGTAGTGTCATGCTGAAGGTCTATGCCGTCTTCAGGTGTGAGTCAGCAGGTGTACTATTGCTGCTGCACTGTGCCTCTACATGCAAGGAACAAGAACAGATCAGTCTGTACGGTAATGGGCCATTCACACTACGCCCGAAACGTGGCGTCCGGATAGACATGGAATGGTCCGGGAAAGTCGTACCCCTGATACGAAAACGTAGACGACGTATCCGGACCCCTGTGCTGAGGTTCGTTCTGTTGTTCCCGGCAGTTTGTGTCCAAAAGAAGCTGTACGCACAGCTCTACGAAAAAAAGAAGAAAAAAAGCGTGTACGTGCCAGTGTGAATGCACCTGCATGAAAACGACGTCTGCCAGTACGTCGTATTCCAAAACGTGACGCGTATTGTAACGTAGTATGAATAGCCTATAACGCAGACCATGATGTTGTATGTTTTGTGCTTTTTTACGGATACTGTTCGGTGTGTAGATGATGTGTCAGAGGGACGCTGACTGTGCCTTTGGTCAGTCGTGCTGCGAGCAGAACCAGACAATGAAGCTGTTTTCCTGCTGCCGGACATCGTCCACACATAACATATTCTGGTACGTACCAGCTATTACGGTAGTAGTATTGGAGATGCACTGTGCAAGGGGCCGTGATGTACATTGTAGTCTTCTGTACTCACACCATTGCTGTACATGTAGTCTTCCCATACTCACACCATTGATAGTTGATAGTACTGTATACTGCAGCCTGTCATTCGGTCGCAAGAAAGATGACCGTGCAGCTGCTGCTGCTGCTGCTGCATTGGGTCACTAAGCCTTCCAAGCTATGCAGTGGTACGGTGAAATCCCAACAGGAGTTGCAATACCTGGCACTGTTCACCATCATGCCCTTTTGCGGTGGGCATCAAAGGCATGTGTGTGTGTGTGTGCACGTGTATGTTTGTGTGTGTATGTGTGTGTGTGTACGTGTGCTCGTGTGTGTGCGTGCGTGTGTGTTTCTGCTTGCGTTGTTTCCGATATGTTTGTCGCATAGGATTGTGAGTGTGTTCTTTGGCGTGTCAATGCTGTTCTGCGTGCTGGCGATTCTGAAAGAAAAGCTGCACATCCACTTTGGCCACTCAGCAACAGGATCGAGGTTCTGCTGCTTCCACCGGCGTCGGCGACGGCGCAGAACAACAGCGGGCAGTCCTGTGTCTCGACGGCGACATGTCAGTGTCCGCGTCAACACTGGGTCAGTTTCGTCATCACACGCCCCGTCGACGGTGAGGCGATCAACTTCGGCGGAGACTAGTGTCCTGTGCGAAGCCGGCCCACCGCCCTACTCTGATATACCACCTCCCACGTATGATGCTCCAGGTCCCGTTGTTGCGTACTCGCAATCAGTAGTAACAGTGGCAGCTGAGTTACCTCTTGAAGAACCACCCAAGTATTCCGAGCAAGACACACCTCTAGATGCTCCCCCCAGTTACTACGCACTCCAGTCGACCGAACAATGCGCTAGCACTCCCGATGTTATTGATACTGGCAGTGAGTTGCATGGTAGGCCTGTATCTCTGACCGATACTGCTGGCCCTTCAACAGCAGGTACTGTTGAATCCAGCCATTCGACACTGGAAGCGGCAACACCACTGTAGTGTCTATATTGCTTCACATCATTGTACTGATGACAGACCAGGCCAGCGTACACTGGTCACAAGAAAGCGTCTTGTGAAGCTTCTTCTTGCATTGGCTGCTGCTGCTGCTAGTTGTGCTGGCGGTGTTTCAGTGTAGTGGATAGTCCAGCCTTGCAGCAGGAGCTCCTGACGGATAACAGTGTGTACTAGCTAGTTCTTTGCACTTCAGTCAACTACCCAACGCAATATACCAGTAACTTACTGGATCGACTTTTCAAGGCCAGGAGGGAATGACATGTCTCCTGCGCACCCTCTCAACTAGGATGAGGGAATGCCATCTCTCCCACACACCCTCTCAACTAGGCCAGGAGGGAATGCCATCTCTCCCACACACCCTCTCAACTAGGCCAGGAGGGAATGCCATCTCTCCCACACACCCTCTCAACTAGGCCAGGAGGGAATGCCATCTCTCCCACACACCCTCTCAACTAGGCCAGGAGGGAATGCCATCTCTCCCACACACCCTCTCAACTAGGCCAGGAGGGAATGCCATCTCTCCCACACACCCTCTCAACTAGGATGACTAGCTGTGTTGCTGCTGGTCAACAAGCACACATAGATATAACCTCATGGTCACTTGAACCTCTGTTCCCCCGTTCGTATAACGTCACGATCACTTGAACCTCTGTCCCCCGTTTTTAGTATTACTAGTGTTGTGAATGAACTAGTTGACATACTCTTTTTTCCTTTCACACTGCATGGAACCTCCTGACGTATTTTAGAAAAGAAGTTCATCGTCTGTGCTGCTGCTCATTCGGCAAATCATAGCAAACATGATGACTAACTTGTTTTGATGCTGGCAATCTCTGGTAGTTATTTTTCTCATGGACATCTCCAATTACACTCCCACAATCATGCTGTTTGAGTACTTTTTGACTTGATATATGTTTTACCTCACTTTATTCACTTCATTCATATGGATTTTATTCTCTAGGAAGGCCTCTGTGCTGATGCTTATTTGCTGTTCACCCGCCGGTCACTCCGTGCTCCTCCCCATGGCCAACATGCTTTTACGAATCAATGATTCATGTCGGGGTATTACAGTCAGACCTCGCCTAATCGCACACATCCGTTTTCCACAAAAATATCCGGATAGGCAAGGGAACCGGATAATCGAACACACATACTGTATGTCTACATGGCATATGCTGTAAATCGGTAACCAACGATGTTCTTCCGGATGACGAGGGGTCCGGATAAAAGAGGACCGGATAAGTGAGGTCTGACTGTATCGTAAAAAGTGGAGCACTCTGCTAAACTTTGTACTGAACCTAACATTACATGCAGCTCTCTGCCTTTCTCGAAAAATAGCGACCAACCACTCACGAAATATTTATTGGTTTGAGGGAGTTACAAACGGAAACCACTCGCGAAGCTTTATTTTAACTACAGCGGCCAGTGCTCTCATCATACGACTTTTGTTTTTCTTCTCTCGTCAGAAAAGTATAGCATGTGCAGTTGTCACTGAGTTGCAAACTCAACCTGACACTACGCACAGCAATGGGCCAAACTACAATATTCACCCAGCAAACACTCAGTTTCTGCATGGTGTCTGTCCCCTGTCTTAGCACGGGTAGTTCACAAGCTCTGGGTTTAGGAGATCACTCCTTTGGCAATACCATGGAAATTGTAAATTAAAATATCAAACACGTCCTTCTAAGTATAAGCTCTGCATGCAGTTCATCATGTAAGAAATCAAGCTGTTCTTGTATATTATGTATAACTTAGTGTAGAGTTGCACGACCACAGTCACTTCATCGCAGCGTGCTCAGTGTAACGTTAGTAGGCAAGGTTATCAAGTATTGTGCAGTAAAGGAAGCGAGATCTCAACATAGTAATGTTGTTTATCATTACCGGAGTCAAGTCATCGGAATCATAGCTGTGCTATGTCTTGGTCAAATACACTCTCACGAACATATTAGGAACACTGGTCATCATGTCTGTATCTGATAGTGGGTGGCAGCATTAACTCATTCAGGACCATCTAGCTTGATGTAGTGCGGACTCACTGCTCTTGAGCTGGCTGTGACTCTGCTACATAAATAGGACCACCTCACCCAGGTCATCATCCTCGTCTGGAGCAAATGAGTGACTGGTTGGAGGAGGCTGGTGATACTGGAACTCCAGTGTGCCCTGCGGGGTGAAGAAAGGCGGAGGCTGCCGCTGTGGATTATGCCCCATGTCCAGTGAGTCACCACCAAAGTGCACAGCTTCCAAGTCTTCCGCATCTGGTGGTAAGCGAGAGTCGTAGGTACCGTGAGCACTTGCCGGCTGACTGCCTTGGCTTCGTGGCGGCAGTGGCTCGTCCAGCTGCATCACTCTAGGCTTTCTGCTATGAGCATGGTCGTCGAACTGATGGTGCTCAAACACTAGATCCAACTCATGTTCTGATGGTGCGGGCGACTCATCAAAGAAAACGACGCCATCATTTCCAGCAGCGTAGGAGTTAGTCGGAGGCATGTCGATTTGATGTTCGTTGTCGGCAGGAAGCAGGCCCGCCTCGGGACCTTGAACAAAGTGGCGCATTTGCTCTTCTACTCTCAGCTGGGCATCTATTTGTAGCTGTTCCTCAAGGTGTTGAAGATCAACATGCCGTGATTGACTACTACTGGATTGACGGCGGCTTTGTCCAGCAGCACGGTAGTTAGCACTCTGAAGTTGCTCAGCATGCCGCTGCTGCCGCTGCTGCTGAAGTGGCGATTCCCGTTCCTCGGGCAGCTGCTGCATTTCTACAGGTGGCAGCTGCTCTTCCAGGATAGAGAGATCAGTAGACCTGGAGTATGGGGAAACGCCGGAACTGGTATAGCGACGTGTGTCTGCTGCTGCTGCATCTGCATTGCTGCTACCATACCGTTGAAGATGATCATTATAGGACAAGTGGTCGGAGTAGTGTCGCCGGGATCGTTGTATAGGCTGAAAATGATCGTCACCAGCATAGGTATTCGATGCGTACCGCTCTTCTTCCAGTGTTCGCAGGAGGTCATTGCGGCGCATTTGTTCCTCGGCGAAGCGAGCGCGTTCCCTTTCCAGACGAGCTCTTTCTTCCTCCAGCTTGGCCATCTCCAGCATATGTGAGTTCCGATGCTCTTCAGTCTGGAATCCATCTGGCTGCACACCGATGTTTGCACGCTGAAAGAAAGCAGATGGATCGGTGTCATCGATATCTTTCAATGAGGCTTCCTTTCGCACTCTGCTTGTGGGCTGTTGTGTCTTGCAGTGCTTTCTGACACTAGACGTTGTCGGTCGCCGGTGATCATGCTGCAGCCTCTCATCCAAACGTTTCCTCAAGCTATTTGAGAAGTCAGTGTCTTGCTCCTTCAGCATTTTCTCTTCCATCTTGCGGCGCAAGCTGTTGAATGCAGGTTCTTGCTCAGACTCCTTGCCAGTCCAGCGTGCTTGCTTCCAAATGGCCTCGAATGCCTCGCCACGTTGGCGCAAGACACGCTGCCTCTCTTCTCGGAGTTGCTCGTACTGGCGGAGTGTTTCCTCAGCTGCATACGGACTTGGTCCTCGTATTGGAGTGTCCTGTGGTGAGGGTCCAGCGCTGCTTGCCGTTGACTTGACCAGCAATGGCTGCATACTGCTATTCAATGGACTCCGCATGGCTGAGTAGGGATTGTCTACCAGCTCACTGCTCGTGCTTGCACGGGGCCGTTTCTGAGGGCTTGCTTGTGGCGTTGTGCCGCCCGATCGCGGCAGAATAGGGGACGGTTGGCGCGAGAAGAACGTTGTCTCCTGAACCTCCAGTTGATCTCTTTCATGTTTCTTTATCGGAGTGGACCTCGTCCTTTGAAGAAGCTTCTCTTCCTTTGTCTGGACAGGTGTATCTTCCATGAAAGAGGTTGTCTTTATTAGTTTCTTACGCTTTTCGTCAAGTCCACTTTCTGTCGCAGCAAAGATTGGTAGTTTACTGTCATTGCCATCATGTAAGTCGGCATCCTCTATGCCAGTCTCTTCCAGAGTACTCTCTTCCTTCTCGACCATTTCTGCGGCTGACTCCTGAGCTTCTGCAGCTGCGTTGGCCAGCATGGCCCTGTTCTTGCTGGCATCTTGCGTCTCCTTGCTGATCGGGTGGAAGACCCAGGACGCAGCGCTGCGCATGTCATCCGTCTTCACCACCACCGTGTCCAAGTCCTGATGTGCGGTCAACACAACACAACACAACGGCATCTCTCAGTGACAACATAGTACATCAGCGCCCAGCCAAGGATACAATCATGGTATGCACAGGATACAATCATGGTATGCACATTTGAACAATGTAGCAGTAAGCGCTCACAAGAGAGGCACTGCAAAAGTGTGTTCGCAAGACTTGACACAATCCCGAGAAATGATCACAATCCAACCCACATTGGACACAGTTATATCTGTGTACAGTGTGTTGCAATCTACCATCATCACCCTCTGTGGTGTCTGCGGTATGGTCTATTAGGCATGCGCACAGGCAGAGCAGTGTGACAATGCCAACAGAACATGAAAAGTCCTCAGAAGCAAACCCGAAAGAAGATTGCTGTTCTTACAAGTACTTTGGACGCACTGGGGCCAAGCTACACACAATGACAGTCCTATCCCAGGCCAGATGGTGAGTCTCCTCACAGTTCTATCCCAGGCCAGATGGTGTCACGGTCTCCCCACAGTTTTATCCCAGGCTAGATGGTGTGTCTCCTCACAGCTTAGCCATTACGCTGCTTACCGTCACTTTCTCAAACTTCCCAGAGCGGCGGCCTTCGACTTTGAACCCCTCCACTTCAGCTTCATCCTCTTCCTCTTGGTCGCCGAGTGGACTTGATTCATATGGAGACCGGTAGCGTTCTTCCATTTCCTGTGCCATCACAACACGAAGGGGAGACAGGGGAGTAGGGACAGTAAGCACATGGTCCTTCTCTCTTGCCAGATACCGGGTATGCAGAACTCAAGACAGTAACTTACAGTGTTACAAAATGTACGGTGTGTACGCAGAAATGCAGCAGCCATAGTCCCCCCCCCCTCTCTCTCTCTCCTGCCTCCCCCCTCTCAACTCCTCAGAGAGAATGCTAATGAAACCCTTAGTTGGTCTAAAACTCCATTCGTGTGTTGGCCAAAACACTATTGCTGTAATTAACATCTTTGGACTCATGGCAAGATTCCACCGAAGCATTACCGAGGTAGATAAATGCACATCCAATGCAGCACACGATGCCCTATTACATCACTCTAGGTCTCTCCCTGGAAACAAGCACAGATCACAATTACCGTATTTGCCAGCTTATATGTTGACATTTCATGCGCCAAATTTAATTGGAAAGCCAGGGTCGACCTATAACCAGGAATTAGTCCGTGTCTGTGATAGTCATACACTCTACGCATAACGGTGTACAGTATTCAGTGCTTAGAGCTGGGGAAATAAGATGCGTGAACTTACATAGCCACCATTTTGTCTTGTCCAATAGTCCGAACCATTGCTGGTCTTGCTGCCTCGACGAGAGGTGAACGTGTCGAAGTTCTTCGTGGAAACCTTGGAGAAGGACTTCCGTAGGTCAAACGTTTCTCTCCTTCTTCGTCTAATCACCACCGCAATGAGAACAGCCGCAACAAGAAGTACCATGACAATGATAGCAATCCACCATAGTCCCCCACCACCACCGGAATCAGACCCACCACCACTGAGTGTTGTCGTGTGGTTGGCAGCTATAGTTGTGACCAGCGTAACTGGAACGCCAGTGGTTTGCTCCACTGCTCCTAGATCCGACGATGCAGAAGCAGGTGTGTTAGTTGCTTGTGGAGTAGCTGACATGGTGGCCTGTGACGATGCAGCTGCAGCTGCTGTGGTAATATGGTCCGTGCCTGACTGGACAGGCAGGCTAGTTGCTTGTTGGGAAGTATCAGGTGGAGCAGCAGAACTTGAAGCTGGCATTGTGACCCTTCTACTGGTACTGATGGCTCCGGTACTGCTGGCAGATGACCCAGTTGTTGTTGTTGTTGTAACAGTGACAGGGTTTGAGCTACTTGAAGGTACTGTACTGGGTTGGGCAGGTGTTGCTGATGGAGTGGTTGACTCAGTTGTAGTTGATTGAGCTGTGCTGGGCTGAGCTGTGCTGGGTCGAGATGTGGTCGGTTGAGCTGTGGTTGGTTGAGCTGTGGTTGGTTGAGCTGTGGTTGGTGCGGTCGACGGAGTAGTACTGGGTGTAGTTGTTGGTGTGGTTGTCGAAGCTGTAGTTGGAAAACTTGTCGGTGTAGTAGGTATGGTGGTTGGTGCAGTGCTTGGGGCACCTGTAATCTGTGTTGTAGCTGGTGGCGTACTTGGTGTTGTGCCTACTGGAGTTGAAGAGATTGTAGTTGGTGTTGTGATCAATGTTCTAGCTGTAGTAGCTGGTGCGGTAGTTGGAGTAGTCATCGGACTAGTTGTTGGGTTTGTTGTCTCCGGCAATGTGGCTGCACTAGTCAGGGCTGTGGTTGGAGCATTGGTTGGAGAAGTGGATGGTGAGGTTAAGATGGGAGTTGTAGTCTGCACTCTAGATGTTGTCGGTGTGATAGTTGGTAATGTGGTAACTCTGCTAGTAACTGCTGCAGTTGTTGGTGCAGGAGTGGGCAGGATACAGTTGATAGGCCTTGAGTATACCTGCAGTGGATCATAGCCACCTTCGATGATAACCGTATGTTGCACAGCATTCTTGAGGGAAGACGGTGAGACTGTGAAGTTAGCATTGTAGGGATAAGCACGAGCAGTGTTGGGTGCCGTGTAGCCTAGGAAGTTCTCTTGGCGACTGGCAGATGACTCATTCCGTGCATTGATTGTCACTTGGAACAAGCTGATGCCGATTCCGGTGAAATTCAGCTCTGAGATTGCACCTCTCACTTCAAACACTCCATTGCCTTTGTCGCTTGCTTCGACAATGCCACCATACAGGGAACTCCCCTTGTCCTGGACAACTACTGGTGAGGAGAAGTTGATGCTATTGAAGACTTGCTGGAAGCGGGGGTTGCTGTGAGCAAAGTCTACAAAGAGATAGGTGTCATCCGTAGTTACAGCACCCGTAGCTGTCTTGCCGCTACTCAGCTGCGTCTGCACTACTATTTCACAACTATAATTAGTTACCGTCGGGCCTTGGTATGATGGCAATACAGTGACATTCAGGTTGCTGACAAATCTCAGCAGTCGAAAGTCGATCCTAGCCAGAGTGGAGGCATCTGTGGTATCAATATGGCCATCAAGATCAGGATCCATCTCCGCAATCTGAAATGGTTGCGTTTCGTTTGCTATCATTTTTCCTAGGTCTGTGCTAAAGCCAGTACGGTTGACCAACACATAGCGCTGTAGGTAGCTGGCATCCTTCAGATCGAACACACAGTCTCCATTCGTGTCACCTGCCTGCCGGCCACTTGGGCACACAGCACACGGTGGACGGGTTGTACAGGCCATGCTTCGCCGATGACGATGATGTTGGTAACCACTAGTCGTATGCATATTGGTTAGCGTGGCATCCTGTGATGATGACCGACGATGGTTGCTACGGCGACGACGACTGCCATCAGTCACGATCATGCTGACATTGCCGGCGATGAACTGCGTGTTTGTAACGTCCAGCGCAAGGTTGCTTGAGCTGAGCGTGTTGGATAGACCGGAGATTGGAGTCATGCCAGCTTGCAGCGCAGTGAAGTTCAAAACAGCAATTTCCAAGCCAGCGCCCTGCGGCTTCAGAGGCAGCCCGCCAATAGTTGCCACACCAGGTGGATCATTCAGGTTTACGAGGAACTGGCCCCCGTTCCAGCCAGCACCACTTACGACCGAGTTTATGCTGAGTGCACTGCTGTCGTACGTTATGTCTAGGTTGACAGCATCAACACCCTCACCAGCCGTGTTCACGCGCACTGGAACGGTAAAGTGGCTGCCCACCCGGACTGGTTTCACAGCAACACCGCTGCTATCACCAATGTCTGCATCTCCATGTCCTGGCTGCAAGTTGCACGTGATGGTGACAGTCTGCGGTGGTGCCATTGATGATCCCGATGCTGGAGACACGGTAACCTTGACGGGTTCTGGTGCATTGCCATTCAGTGTCAATCTGCCCGTTAACTGGTCGACTAAAATGGCATGCGCGTCAGTTGAGGAGATCTTCAGAAGTTGCGGCAGCGCAAGGATTCCATTGAAGACGGATGGGTAGGTGATTCCGTCGCCCAGCTCAGCATCCACCGATATGTATTGCCAAGCCATACCCCGTTCTCCAGAGAACAGGGGCTTTGACGCAACAACCTGCTTCAGAGACGTGACTTCGATAGGTACCGGGTGGATGGACATTTTCAATGGTGGCATATTGTATCCAGTTGAAAATTTGCCAACAAGTGAAACGTTTCCAGTATACTTGCCAGTTGTCTGTATAATACCAGTTGATGAAATACCCACTGAACTAGCGCTGGCAGCCATAGTCGCAGACTCGTCGTAGTATGCATTAAAGCCTGTCAGACGATCATTGGTCACATCAATTGTAGAAGAATCGCTCAGTACGAGCAGTGCTCTCAAGGATGCCCGTTGCCACTGGCCAGTGGTTGAGAGAGGACTGAGGACTGTCTCGGTGTCTTGTGGCGCTGCAGTGCTTGTCGGGTACGGGTGTGAGGTGAGTCGGAGAGTGCTGTAAACGACGACATTGATACTGATGGACATGGTGAGATTGGTGCTCGTGAAGGAGACATTGACCCTGGCCAGTCCTGTTCTGTTTGCAATTACACTAACACCACTTGAGTGTCGCAGCAGCTGCACACCGGATACCGAATAGACTGTACGGCTATCTGTGGTATAGTCCTGTTGGTGGCCCCCGGGGAAGACTAGTTTCACCAGCAGAGGGCTAGATGTTGCCAAAGCACCTGACTGTGGCATCGATGCCAGATCACCAGGAAGTGTCATTATAGTCTGATAGCCAGTCACGGTTACTGTGTGTGGTGCGGGCAGATCCACGCTGACATATCCATAACCAGTTGCAATCACTCGGCGCTGAGCATCACATCGGGACCATGCACTGGCCCTAAGAAGATCGCCTGAACCTGATACATAACCAGCACGGACATTCGTTCTAGATCCGTCTGTTCGAACCGTGCGACTGTCCGTTGCATTGAGATAATAGTCCAGAGAGTCGTACATGTCCAGTAGTGAGTGTGCTCCATCAGAGAACACAGCTGAGACCTGGACATCAGCTGCCTTGCTCTCGTAGTCCAGTAGTTGTGAGGTTGTGGCACGGGCGGTTTGACTTGATTGTGCTGAGTACGGAGGGCCTGCTCCAGACGTCGTGACTTGCAGCTCGGTGAAGGTGAGGACAGATAGACCAATGCAGTCAACCATCTGTGTGCTGGTAGTGACACTTACTGATGCATGCAGTGTTTGACTGTTACTCAGTGAGAGCCATGCAGTGCCGGGACCGATTCCCTGTATCCTGCCTTGCACTGTCACACGCGCAACGGATAGATCTGAACTGGTCAGCCGACTAGCCAGCAAGTGTGTCAAATCGGCGGTGAAGTTCTCCAGGGAGCCATAGCTGAATGTGACTGAGACGTGTACAGCTGATTGCTGATAGAGCTGTGTACAGTTAAGAGATCTCCAGTCGTGTATTGCATTAAGCAGAGGATCATCTAGCTGTATTGCTGTCCGGTTAGGTCTCCAGATCCTTAACTGCGTTCCAATACAGAGACCTTCATAGCACAGCTGTACAGTTGCGGTGGATGTGTCAACAGTCTCACTGCCATTGACATACGCAACGTTACATGCTGAGCTCAGCTGGAGAACACCAGCTGGTGTGACACTGCAGTTGTGCGTTGTCGTCACCACGGTTCCCGCTGAGCCGTCATCCCTCCACGATTTCAGAGCGAGCAGGACGCTCACAGGCTGACCATCCAGCACGGCCGTGTTGACAATGTCTGTTACGTTCTGGCTAACAGTTAGTGCTACGGTGCGTGGCCGGCTGACCCACACATAACCACTGGTTTGTTGATATCCTTGACGATCAGCCACAAGAGCCATCAATGGTGAAGCTAGACTGGCATACGTATAACCCACAGTGTTCACAAGCTCCACCACCTGACAGGATATGGACAGCTGCCTCACATTCAGAGGCAAACTCAATTCAACACGCACCGTTGCATTGGCCAAATGCTCTAGATTGGTTTTGTCTGTTCTCGCCACACGTGTTATATACGACGGAGTCTTGTAAGCATTCAGGGATGTACCGTCAGCTGCCGGTACCCAGCGGTCAGGATCAACATTGAAGCGTACTAAAGTGAGCTTAGCACCGAGAATGAGCTGCAGTTGGAATGTGCTGATGTCATAGCCGGTTCTTCCCCAAATCTGCACGGTAAATTCCTCACCTGCATACACCTCTCTTGTGACTAGCCGCACCAAGATGTCATTGTCAATAGCGTACTGCTGCGGTGATGGCATTATGTGGATAGTATCTGACAAGGTGGTCACTGATCTGCTGCTGCTACTACCATCACCGATATAGAAGCTTGCCATAGCGCTACTCCCGTTCGCAGAGAATGCTTGCAGCGGCAGCATTGCTGACAGCAGGCAAGTTCCATCCGTGGAGCTTGTGCTACATATACCACGGACACTTGGAACTCCTGTAGCTGGGACTAGTGATATCTGCATGGTAACAGTGGTGCTCTTTGTTCTAGTTCCGTTCATTGCATCACGGACTTGAACAGTTGCGTACACAGTTCTGCCGTCATGCCACACTCTGTTATTCAGCAACGTGGCCACCAAGCTGCTGGCTGGTGATAGGTCACTTGTGTATGCCACTGAATCAGTACGTGAGCCGGCCGTTGCAGAGATGGCACCGGTTGATCCAGGCAATTTGTTGATGAAATGGCCGAAACACTGCACGGTAGCGTTGGGCCGAGAGGTCGCTGAGTCCTGTGTTGTACATGGTGATGGCAGCAGATATCCAGTACCAGTTAGTGTCCAGTCCACACTAACATTAGCTTGTAAACGTACAATCTGTGGGACAGTAGGGGTAGGTGTTACTGTTGCTGGTATCGCTGTCGTTGTCACTTCCGTTGGAACCACACTGGTCTGCACTGCTGATGACGTAATCGCTACAGAGGTGATGAATAATGATGATGTGATGGGTAGGACAGTAGAGGATTCCTCTTCGACAAGTTCTGATGAGATTGAAGTAACTGACGGTTGAGCAGATTGGAGAACTGATGATGGTATGGCCACCGCAGTCGATGGCTGGATACTACTCAAAGAGGTCGAACTTGCCAGGTACACAACAGAACTTTGTGCCAGGCTGGTTTGGGATGAGGCAAAAGCTTCACTTGATGTGGAGAACACCTCACTAGTAGAAGGCACCTCTGTTGAAATGGCAACAATCTCGCTGGAAGAAACGGCAAGAGAGGTAACTTGGGAGAAAATCGTCGACTCAACAGATGACGGTGCTAGTGTGTTAATCTCAATGGGTGTTGATGACTCAAACAAGCTAGTCAGCACTGATGTGGATAGCTCGTTAGACACACTCCCCTCTATACTACTGATTGATGGAACACCCACAGTAAATTCTGAAGACGAGCCGGGGAACACTTGACTCGACTGCTCCACCCCTTCCGAGGAGAACAATGATGTCACTGCTGCGATGGGTGATGACTCCTGCACGGTGGAAGCCACTGAACTTTCCTCCCTTACCGTACTCTCAAGGAATACTGCCGTGGAGATTGGTGCAGAGAACTCTGTTGTGAAAGTTGAAAGAAATACCGAGAATACAGATGTCTCCTCCTCACCAATGACACTTGTCGGCTGAACAGCACTGGTGCTCAGTTGAATGGATGACAAACTAGTTTCAACCTCAACTGTTGATTCAGAAGATGATGGAGATAGAAGAAGACTACTAGTTCCCACTGCAGATGACGGCTCCTCCAGCAATGATGATGAAGGTATTGACTGGGATATCTGCGTTGAAAGCACATCCGTGCTCAGGGTCGAGAGGAGCTCAGAAGAACTGGCTTGAACCAGACTGGATATCTCGCTGACGACTGACGACAAGATGGGAGAGCTTTCCTCAACCAAGCTTGTGAACTGACTAGTTACAAATGCTTCACTCGAACTAATAATGCTGCTCTCCAGAGCAATACTTGTGCTGCTTGCGCTGACCTCCACGGAGGAACTTGCAATGAAGGATTCCGATGGCTCCACAGACACGAATTCTGTTGAAGTTTTCCCCACGATCTCGGTGGACAACTGAGTTGCAACCTCCGAAGAAAACGGTAACAGTTCGCTTGAAGATGCTGGGACTTCGGAGATGAGTGATGTGACTAATTCCACAGTGGTTTCGAGTATTTCGGTGGTGAAGTCAATAGCCGGGGTTAGAACGGAAGTTGTAATAGCGGGGGACTGCTCGATTGATGGTACTTCAACTGAAGATACTTGGCTTGTAGCTGGCTCACTTGATGATGCAGCAAGTGACTCACTTACAACCGGTGTTGGGGACGCGGAGATAGCAATCGTTGTACTGTAGACCACCGCGGAGGAGGGCTCCTCCAGAATCTCACTGCTTTCTGACACAGTGCTGGCACTACTTGTGAGTTCACTAGTGAGGAATGGTTCAGTTGGTTCAACCTCAGACTGTGATGGTGAGACGGCTATGAATGTTGTACTGCCCGGCACCTCCTGAGTTTCCGTGCTCGTCTGAAATTCAATTGCTGTTTCAAAACTTGTGACTCTAAAGCTAGGACTCTCGGTCGTGGACTCAGAAGTGCTAAGTATGCTGGTCGTTGGTTGCGGCTCAACAATGGACGTTTCCTCCACAGAGGTTTCAGATATTATTGATGAAACTGCTTCAAAGATCGATGTAATATCTTCTGTGGTCGTGGCTTGCGATGAACTGGCAAGAGTGGACGTAGTGAGGAACTCCGTACTCACTATGGGAGTGGCGGACCGAGATGAGGAGGTAGTACTGGCTTCAACCAGGCTAGTAGAAGAAACAGTCTGTTCTTCTGAACTTGTGACCGCTGATGGCACCGAGAACACTGTGGTGAGATCTGACGCCGCTTCTGTTGACACAGATTCCTCCACTTGTCGAGTTGTAGATGAGGTGACTCCTGAAGGCAACACGATTGACGACGGCTCAACAAAAGTAGATGTTTCCACAGTTGTCGTTGACACAGTGCTACTCGTGACAGTAGAAGTAACTTCCACAGTGGTTGTGAACAGTGGCGTCTGTTCAAGTGGTGATGATGAGACGGTAGAAATAGTTGATGTGGAGATACTACCTGTTACTAGACTGGTAGTGGATGTGACAGCACTGATCACCAATGTTGGAGACACTTCAGGAACCCCTGGTGTAGAAGTAGTGATCACGGATGTCGCCACCGGTTCAATGAATGGCGTTGAAGTTGTGCTGACGTCTTCAACCGTGCTTGCTATCGGCACCACTGCTGTACTTGTACTCGTGGCACTGAACGCCGACGTTGGTTCTACTGCGGTCGTGAACAGCACAGTGAGCTCTGCTGTAGTGGTGGTGGTGGTACTGATTGCCGGCGGCACTGCTACTGTTGTTGCTTGGGTTGGTAATACAGTGGTGGCTTGCAGGATAGCTGTAGAAGTAGAAGCACTAGGAGGTACCGGCAGTATCACAATTTCCAGCGTTGCACGTGCCTCGTTGTATGGTGGTTCGGCCTCCTTGGCAAGCACAATGAATGTGAAGTTCTCTGCTTGATACGACAGAAGATCAGTGATTGTTGTGATTTGCCCGGTGTTTGCACGAATGCTGAAGAGGTGTGGTACAGTGCTGGATGCATCTGCAGGTTCCAAAGTGTAGCGGAAATTCACATTTCCGTCTGCATCGGTAGCAGTCAGCCGCAGCACTGTCGTGTTGGCAGTGGTGTTTGCTGGCAGTGTTACCACAGAGGGTACAACCAACTCAACTGGATTGTCATTGTCATTGCCCACATCCACTGTGATGAATGCAGTTGAATGCTTTTGCCAGAACGGAGGCTCTGCCTGGTCGGTGGCTTGGATGGTAAGGTTGTACTGCTGCTGCCCACTTTCATAGTCCAGCAGGGCTGCAAGGATAAGCTCACCGGTTACTGGGTCAACAGTGAACACAGCATTCGTGCCGGTGCCACCAGTACTTACGAGTGAGTACACAACTTCGCCGTTTACACCGGAGTCTGGATCGGAAGCCATCACGGTCAAGACGGTTGTGCCGATGGGCGTAGTTTCGTTGACAGTGACGGCATAGTGGGTTTCGTTGAAGAACGGTGCTGTTGGATTGGGGTCTACCGGGGTAATGTTCACACGGACATAGGCACTTTGATATGACGTGGCTTGATTGTTGCTATCGTACGCTCTCACACCAAGCAGACAAGTCACTGACACAGTCACATTGCTGAGCGACTCCACCAAGATAATGGCACCGTTTGGATCCAACATGAAATACGTACAGTTTTGCTGCCCAGTCGCAGAGTAGACCACGTCACTAGTGGCATCCTCATCTGTTGCATTCAGGTGACCAATGGTGGTATCTAGCAGTGCATTGCTTCCTACTTCAAACTGACTGACATTGGCAAACACGATAGGAAATTCATCAATGTCGCAGATGGTGATATCGACAGTGATTTGCTGCATATAGAACGTCTGGTCATCATTTGTCCACAGCGCCTGGACAACTAGTGTTATGCTGTTGTTGCTCTCCCGATCAATATTTCCAAGGCAAGTGATCACACCGGTTTGAGAATTCACCTGAAACGTACCGTCATCATTCCCAGCAACTGTGCT